CCACCACCCGACACAGCCAACTAGTAAGGTGTGTTGGAGAGCTTGTTGTGGCTTGGCTCTCCAACACACCGGTGTGCTGTACTAGTGACGAACTGGTATGTTCTGTTTACGTGACAAACCTTACTAATTGGCTGTCGGGTGGTGGCGGGTTCACATTTCTATATTTACGCGATTTAACCCCCCAAAAAACTGTTTTATGGATGAGATTGGTCACGAAAGCCTACGTGTTAAACTTCCAATATGTGACCTTCATCTGAAAAGTATTTTTCACATATCCCAGCAGCTACACGGTCTTCTGTGAGTGCACATTTTAATCGGCATTGGTTCGACACAACTTTAACGCAAGCAAACTCTGGACCGGTTTAGTCTCCACAGCGACGCTCATGATTATGTTGTGTTATGCCCAATACGATGGGTCACACGTGCGTTCTCTAATGTATGTATATATAGGCTATACCACAACATAGAGCCATGGGAGTCGTGGATAATATAAGTAACCAAATAGATAAGCAGACACTGTCTCATTCACGTGTTTGTCTCACCACGGAAAAATATATATTACGACCAGCTCATCGGTCGTATGGTCTTCTGCATGGGAATGCATAGGTCCCGCAATATTGATTAAGTACAAGCAAACGCGTGGACCGGTTCGAAATCGTGCAGTGTCTCATCAGCAACGTCAGGCTTGCACGACTGCATCAAATGCTGGTGTACCAGCTGCCAGGATGTAATAGGCAATCTCTCTTTTTCAGGATATATACGAAAAGGCTGCGCACGTGTCACACACATTTAAAAACACGACCTCTCGCCACCATAACTCGCTGAGAGGGTGCGCGCCGCGCGCGCGAGGCTACGCAACCCGGGCGCTCACGCTGTTTTGACCCCGGGGGTCACGTTCGGACAAAATCCTCATCAAAGCGTGACACGCATTGTCAGGGCGTCCGCTAGGACGCAACAAAGCGTCGGGAAGTGCGCGGATTAACCTTTCACACACTCTCACCGTGCGGGTCACTCGTGGTGAGACGCAAGTGATTTTCTTTTTTGCGCGCCGAAGAATGGACAAAGCCGCGAGTGGGGAGACACAGGATCACACAGAGGTCACTCGCAAATATCTGTGCGACATCGAGCGGGCGGGAAACGGAGTGGCAGCAATGCAATGGGACGCGTAGGACAGGACGGCCCTCGAGATGCGATGGAGCGATGGAACTAGTTCACGTGCAGGTGCTATAGAATGAAACTAGTTCAGTCGCAGGTGCTCTAGAATGAGTACAGATGGATGATCACATGGCAGGATCGTGAGATGTGGCGGGTGGCGGATTGGGGGAGGCCATCATCCTGAAGTGGATTGGTCATGGCTGATTACGCTATAATGTTGAGAGGGGGCACGGAATGGTGTCGGGTTGGTGATACGCACGCTGTACCACGTATAGCATATGAACCCGGTGGCCTGAGTTAGATTCATGGCTGGCATCAGTAACAATGGCTCATCTATCCGGTCTCACTAACATTAACGTCGCCCTTTGCACACTTAATGTACTTTTGGACCTTCGTCAACCCTAAAAGCCGTGTCGGCCTAGAGGGTTGCTTGACCATACTTCACCACGTTGGTCAGTGCGGACGAATCGGGGAGTGGGGCAGCACTGGATCGGATATCACGCCACTCTGATGTTACCCGTGGCTGTGACTCGAACTCAAGTGGACGGGTTCACAGTGGAGTTTGCTAATCACGCCGCCACCGCTGCACTCCATATCCAAGATGGCATGGACGTGAAAGGAGGAATTATTTGGGGCGTCAAACTATATAATTGATAAAGGGCTGTAAATGATTAATGTTATTGTTAAAATGTATCACGTGCACGTTTCCAGATCGTTTTTCTCACGACATCTATGATATTCAAATTGGATCTTATAGATATAAATACAGCACTGCTGTCTGTCCATAGAACTTCAACCAGCCGTAGTTGGACAATGGACAATGAGGATTACAGTAAAACCCCGGCTAGCCCCAAATTGGTGGCTGGGGATCACATTTAGCTGCACGAGGTCGGAACATAAATAAAAAGCATCTAAAATGTGAATTAAATGCGCAAAATCGTAAACATCATTGAATAATACTATCTATAAATACTATACATAATATATAAATACTATATATAAATTTTACACAATGCGTAATAGATCATATATAATAAGCATGCACTAGCATTGGAACATGTTGTGTGTGATTTGTAAAATAGTGATACTGTCATAATTGTATTTACGGAAATACATTGGTGGTGATATCATACACAGTTGACTACATGATAGATACTGTATGTTATTTCAAAGTACATCTGTTACCTTGGTTGGCATAAATGTCGTCTTCAGTGTTCAGCAGGCTTCCTATGGTAAAACATGTATTATCTAAAGTAGATACTCAGCTTCCTTTGCCATAGCAAAGTAACTTGGGCAACTCAACTACAAAGACACATAAACTGCACACCTACAGTGTTAGACGTTTCCACTGATAAGTATCTAATTTGTTACGTGGTTAAATAAATGTGGCCATTGTGTACATATGGTATATGAAGCAACATATCTTCCTTGATATGAATGTCATATATGCTCTACTGTTATTAATGACGGGCTTTGGATTAATTCACGTGTTAACACGTGGATTCAGATATTAGAACGTAACAAAGTTGTAAGATGGCAGAGTTGAACTTTCTCATTGTGTCTACATACTGTGTGATATGAGTGTTCTGCGAAGTAAATTGTGCATTAAAACGCATCGCTTCCTATGAATAGAAAACCTCACGAGGCGGGAATTTGCCCTGAGCGACTGCATTTTTTTTCTCTTTGTGACTTATACAGAAAATAATTATTGACATTTCTTTGTCAATACACTGTTGGATCAACACCTCCCCTCCGCCCCCCAAGCACGCCGCGCTAGCCACGGGGATTGTTGAGTATAGTTCACCACGGCGTGTTGGCGAAGGGGCGGAGGATGCCGATATTAGGAACGGCTTCCAATGTCGTTCACCTCTGATGTTAGTCGTGAATCAAACTTAATAGCAGGGTTCATACTGCCCTAACCACTGCGCCACCACTGCACCCGATGTTTCATATATATCAGCATTGCATGCATTATATGCAATATACATCATATGCATGATTGTTCAAACATAGGGTATAGTTAAATAAACTACATACAGAACTGTCAAATTAAGTGACGTCACGTATGATTATTGGATCTCTCGTGAAATATTTATAACCAACGTATATAAGCTAAGCAGTCTCATATGCAGGAATTCAGATCAGCCAGGATGGTAAACATGTAAATATATCAGCATCCGGCACACCACACCCAGGATATTTCTCACTATGGCTGTGGTTACTAGTCACGTGCCTGCGATGTAATAATCCACCTAAACAGAGCACCTTCACCGAGACATGAATCCCTGCAAATTGTAGGCTGTGGTGGTCATTGTCACCGCTCGTGTAAACTGCAGTCTTCTAAAGACCCGAGTGTTATTACATCTACGCAGTGTAGCTGTTCCGTGTACAAATTCACCATTCTGACTTCTGAAGGCTTCAATACTGGGTGAGCAAATTAACCCCAGATTGAATTTCAAAAAAGGAATTGATCTCAAAAGAAAGCACGTTGAAAAGTGTAAAGCAATACAGTATATATACACTTTCAAAGTTCATAGATGGCCATTTGTAAACCTGAGAATTGTACATTGCCCCTATGTATAGGCACCTGAGTTGATAAAGGAATCTCATTTTCGGTATCAGTAAGAAGAAAAAAGAGTAACGCATAAGAAATTAATATGAGCAACGTTCATCTATAAATAACGCACGATCCTTTGCCGATCCACTGCTGGATGAAGACCTCCCCAGGCCCATATTGGTCGTGGAGGTTTCTTGACCATACCTCACCACGACTATCATTGTGAACCGGCTCAGATATCGCTTGCCACTGATTCCGCCCAGATGCGGCCCGGGGCAATCGAATTCAGGTCATAGCGAAGCGCGCTAACCACTGCGCCACGGCTCCACCGCAAGGTTGATTTACGAGCTATAAACACATCTGTCGTCATCATCAATCGCTTATATTAACTGCGTATGGAACACCTACCCAATGCAGCATTTGTCAAAATTTGTTTAAAATGTAGAAATAGGGTGATGTATACATCATTACATTTCTCATTGTATATTTTCCGGGGCCACCAACAATCCGTCCGACCCCTCCTTTATATTTATTTTATTTATTTCAGCTCATTTATTTTGGTATAGCCCTGTGAGCCATTCGGCTCTTGAATCGGGTGCAGCCACAACAAACAAACAAAACAAAAACACGAACAAGAAAAACATCTTAAAGTGACTTTGTGACTGTGCAAACAGAAAATCCATGGAAAAAAACCAGCAAAATATTCCTGAAAAAAGCACCGTACACCAACGCTGTGTGCAAAAAATCCCAGTGGGATGCAAGTCAAACAACAACAATAACCACAAGAAAACTTAGATCAAGGCCATCAGTCTAACTCCGCACTACAACAAAACAAACATGTCCAAACCAAAAAAAAGTTTTCGAAATCACCAAAAAAATAAAGCCCTAATTGAAACGTAACAGTGATCACATTTCCGCGCCTCCCTCCTATTCCTATTCTCCTCTGGTATTTTATGTTTCCGGAGCGAGATTCCGGAACCCGGGAATCCCATTTCGTTTGTAACCCTGCTGGTATAGGGACGAATGCACGAACGTCAAAAGTATTGAAATATGATCTTAATTATAGTATTTAAATATCACAATTCTAATATAATTATGTAAATTATACAATTTAAATAATGCTTACGTACTGTTATTTAATCAGTTACATGTTATTTGAATAATACTTGAATTCGTGCGCAATAGTATTAACATAATATTTCATCCTGAAGGTGGCCCTTTAAAACTTGACCTGTGTGCCGCTGACGTGCGGCGCGCGTGGAGGACACCCGGGGTGTTACCGTAATCTCTCGAAAACGAGGCGCTACGGGGGAAAAACAAGACTCGATCACCACTCGTGTGCCCGGTTGTCAATAGATTTTAGTTTCGTTTGTCTTACAAACTTTATCTCACACATGCACACAAGCAGCACACGAACCGCATCATAAGCCGCACTGTTAGCGTTAACTTGAACAACAAAAATGCAGCGAAGTTTCTGTACGCGCACACTCTCGTGATCCAGAGAATACGGCACGTGGCACCGCGCACAAGTGGCAAGTCGCCCGCCACGCACGCGCGCCGTGCCGAGTTCACTTCTTATTTTTGCCCTTTTTAGTTGCGTTTTAAATGCATGCAGGGAGCAAACAAAGGCGATTTATCATCGATTAAGGACGAGGCAAAATCGCAATGAGTGCCGTCATGCGCCGCTCGTTGTTCGACGCGCGCCGTCTCTATCGCCGACAGCTCCGAGGCCTCGGTGAGTGGCGCCGCAGTCCAGCGGGGGTCGGTGCGCCTTTCCCGGCAGCGGCTTCTAGTCGAGGGTCGGTGCTGGCGGCAACCCACTTCGGAGCGAGAGGGAATATGGCTCACCTTCGCGCGGGAGTTGCGTTAAACGACGCACATTATTCAGCCAGGCGAGTCGTACGTGAACGTGCCGTCGTGTGTAAGGTTTAGCTTTAGTACGCAGTGGTTGCATGTTGTAATACTGTATTGCGATATCGCAGGCTTGGGCGAGAGTTGGCGGTTTCGGAAGTAATTCATCCAGCAGTGGATCGACCACGCCCGCTGATGATGACTTATTCTACATTTTACCAACCCTGCGAGCTCAGTTCGATTCCCGGCCTCGGATAACAACTTGTCAAGCTGCATGGGAATTTTACCCTGGGTTCCACCTCTAGGTCAACTCGGCCTTAAATAAGCACCTGGCGCGGTGTGAAAGTAAAGGTTGACGCGGGAGACAAAGGCGGCCGGGCGTGTGGGGTGTGCTCGCCCCAGAACCAACGCGTGTACCGTGCTGGCATAACTAGGTGCTCACGAAGATCACTGTCGTATTTGGTGGGGTTGTTTATGTGCGGGGTGCGTGGATGGCGACACATAGGCACATGCAGAAGGCAATGCAACAACATTTAATGTTGTATTGCACTTCAATGCGCCCACGTCTGTGCTCTCCCCCCCCCCCCCACATGCCCATCGTGGTGACATATGATCGAATAACCCTCACGGTGTGGAGAGGGCCTCATCCAGCAGTAGATCAACATAGGGCTGTGAAATTCAAATGGATATTACCATCAACAATACTTGGTCTTGAGCTAATGCTTTGTCAAACTCGCCGAGCTAGCAAGCTGCGTCGTTTTTTTTCTGTGTATTTTTACGGCGACAATGCGTTTTGTTTATTTACGACGATAAATTTAAACTATTAATACTGTAATGCATTGATTATGATAGTAATAAAAATTAGAGATGGTAGCATCAATGCAGTAGCTAAGATAAGATTTACACATGTGTGGGGTTATATTTGTGGATCCAATTATATTCGAGGTTTTTTTTTCTTTCCACCCTTACGTTTTACTCTTTTCCGTGCAAAGAAGTGTGGATAAAACGCGCGTCTTCACTTGCCACGTGTTTATAACGGAATGATTGACAGGCCGCTTAACACCCGTGCAAAAGCGCGGATAATTGGATCAGTGTGCCAGTGATTTCCAGATTACGAGGTTATGCGCGCAAAATCGCGAATGATTTAATTTTCCGCAGCTTCTCGTTTACTTGTGTTTTCTGCGCTACATGGCAGATAATAGGATGGGTGATGTTACTTCCACGATACCAATCCTCGGGCGATTTGGGAGTTGCAGATAGAATAGAAACAGTGGTCAAGAGGAGGTGCGTGAGAGGATATTTCTCTGTATAACTATGCAAGACATGACAATGCTGTACAACTGCATGTGATTGAATAATAATAATAGTAGTACGTCTTTTCAGGAAAGCCTCAGTAAAAAAAAATTGACTTAAAACTTTCGCGACTGCAGGAATTCATATTCTTTGGTTCTTTCGGTAAAGTCACGTAGATATAAAATAATAAAATAAGAAGAGTACAATAAAACATTTTAATAAAAAAAACTCACGACGTTTCGATTGCAACACAAGCGGTCGTCATCAGGCGGAGAAAACGCCTTATTCTATCTACGACAGCCTCAGTACTTTTCTTTTCGAAATAGTTTTTCATTTGCATGTTTTGTCTTCACATAAATACGTTTTTTTATTCCATTGATGAGTGGTTTTAATTACTCTCAATGTGAGTTTAATATGATCTACTTTATGGCCGTGTAGTTGACTTGCCCGAGTACGCAGCCTGCGATACAAGAAGAATCACTGCTTTTAGTTTCTCCCCGCTGTAATTTGAACTGCTTCAAGCTAATGTTTCCAAAGCCTTGGGCGAACAGCTTCCAACTGTGGATTAATCACCAGATTAGGGATGGCTCTGTTTTGCTGTTTGCACTTTTTGAAAAGGATTAAGAGGCCACTGGCTTCAAGGTATTAGGCACTAGAAAATTACTGCTTTCGCCACAAGCTAATGCCTGTTTATAGTTTAATTGCCTGATAATGATTTCCTACTAGAACTAAGAATGTTCGTTATTTTTTTAACCAGATTGGCTGTTTGTTTGATACAGCTCAGTATTTATCAATGTGCTAAAATGTTTGGGAATATGTTGTTATTTTTATGTTTTGATTAGCAGTTATATGTGCAAATAAGTCCCCAAACTTTAACACATTCTTACATGCTTGTTTTTGTTAGGTAAACGGTTTCATTCTTATCGTTCTTTTCTGGAAATTCCATGTATTATAATATGCTTTGCTTCTTAGTTGCTTATGCATGTTATTTTAAATGCAGTATATGGGCTTTATTTTCTAACCTGAATTGGTTAATATAGAGTAATAGTCCCCCCCCCCAGATCCACAGCTTAGAAGTGAGGGTTTGCGGCTAATTTAATGGTACATGTTAAATGAAGGGACGACGGCCCCCTGCCAATTTCTTTCTTAGGATTTTGAAGGCCAGGTCCTTGGACATCACAAAAGCACGACACCATTAAGACTGAACACACACGGGGACACCAACCGGGCTGCAGACAGGGTCCTTTTAGAGGAACATTCTCTGCAAAAGCACCAGCACAAGCACCTATGGACAAAAGGCTTCCCGCCCCCTGTTTTAAACAAAGGCAATTCTTGACACGGCTAAGCGCTCAAATGATGTGAACAAAAAAAAAACCCACACTTTTTTGTGGATCTTTTCCACACTTTGCTCGAATTAAAGAACTTAATGGGGTTTTTATGCCGTCCCACTTCCTGCCTCATTAACGCACAATACCTCACCTGGCGTAGAGTTGATTTGTCCTCTGTGGCCCCTTTTTTTTGAAATGTAGCCTGGGTTGGGACTGAGAGAATGAACTGAGCGGAGGGGCTGTTGTTTTGTGAGCACTGCTAATTGTTGATTGGCAGCCCTTTGTGTTTTCTCGTCCATTTCAGTGGCCTATACAATGTATTCACAAAACCCCATTAAGGATTAATATTACTACAGATCGACGGATCTTAATGATAAAATGTTTGCACAATATATATTTACATGTAATTAAAAAAAATGTCAGCATGCAAAGTATAAAAAAACAATACCAAGCTTCGTCCCTCATTATTTTAAAATAGCCAATACACGTCTCCATAATACATAGTTACATACATTACGTGCAGTGTAACAATGAAACCATGAACATTGCCCTCCGCATCCAACCACAACTGTGAAGCTTGCTAACGCACCTCACTGGGGCCTCTCGTCTCCGGCTAATAAAGCCGAAGGAATTGTCAGCTCTTACGGCCACCGAAGTGCTGGTGTCGAATGCTGGCGGCCACGTTCATCTCACAAGCGGTCCCACCCTCCATTCACCGCGCCGGCTGCCGGGCAGGGTAATTCCCCACCTCCTCCCCCCAAATTAATAGTCACCTGCAGCTGAGCGGGCCGACTGAGCCTCTGAGTGACGCTCAGAATTAGGGCTGCACCCCGGGGTCGTGAGATCGTCGCCACACAATCCGAGCTCTGTCAATCTCCGCGATCCTTTAATAGAAGCGAGAGCGGTATTCACGGGGGTGACGGCGACGACCGGAGGTTTTGAGCGTCGTTTGCATTCCTCACTGCCTGCAAAATTAAACTCTTCCTTTTGAGCCCACCCGTAATTACCGACTTTCTCACTGATGCTTTGTTGAATTGTAATTATAGGAATTTTAATTTAAAATTCCAAAGATATGTTTTTTATATATTGTCAGTTTTTAAACCATGTTCCGTTTCACTGAAGGATAAACTGTGTACCCTGTAATGGGATCATGAAGTAAATGTACATGCATGCTTCATCATATTTTTGTAAATCACACGTTATATTTCAGAAGTATACACTTACAAAAAAATTGTTCCAGCTCATATGATGCATTTATAAATTATAACGGTAGCCTCCTGAACAGCACGACTTATGCAAATAAAACCTACTTTTTTTTACTGCACCATGTAAACACAAGGCAAGTGCTAATTTCGGCACCTTCCCCAGCAATTCAGTGAAGTGTCACATTTCAGGGTTACAACTCAGTTGGAAAATGTATGATGTTTTATTTTTGATCATATCCTTTTTATTTTTTCCTCTTTTGATCTATTTCAATAAAACAAATATTCACTCCATTAGTGCAAATGTAACAGCATCATTCACATAATAGTTCATCATATAGTTTCTCACGCAAAATTATATGTGCGTGTTGTGAGTACGAGGATCATTTTCAATCCACGAATCCTCTTTTATTGCTTGTTGAGCTAAAACGACTCTAGGTGAAAATAAAAACAATCTATTATTGATTTTGCACGTGAAAATTAAGTTGCAATAATCTTAACGTTGTACCACATGACTTTATAGGTCTTTTGGAAACGCGGAAGGACGTCGAGAGATTTTCATCCACCCATCCAGAGAGTGGCGTAGAGGTTACGCCGATGCTGAAGCATTTGGTATCCAAAATCAAGGCCACTGGACCCATATCGACAGCGGAATACATGCGAGAGGTCCTCACCAACCCCGCAAAGGCAGGTCACGCGGTGTTTTTTTTTTTATAATCATCACTAGAGCATATTTGATTTATACATAAAATCCACAGCATTCTTGTCTATCAGAACAAAAATCTCAATGTTTCAGCAGATGGAAATATATCAGCCAAGTCAGCCGAACCTTCAAGTTCTTGTTTTCTTAGCGTCCGTGACACGAGTTATTATTTTTTAATTAACCTGCCTTTTTTTTTACAAGCTCATTGAAGGAGAAAGTTTATAATTTAATTATTACTCGAATTTTTATTCTGAAAACTCGCGTGTGCTTTTTTCCATTAACTGATGAATGCGAGCGTTGTGTACATGTCTAGGTGCAGCAAGTACACTTTGCACGGGTGTTGTGAATTGTTTTGGGTACAGAGGACAGCGGATTAAACCACGTTTTCTTGTATGTGATGATATGATGCGAATTATTCTGCAGGGATACTATATCCACCACGACATGCTTGGAGAGCGTGGCGATTTTGTTACATCTCCAGAGATCAGCCAGATATTTGGAGAGGTACACACAAGCGTCTTGTATTTTCCACAACTACATTAAATTAACACTTTTCTGTAGCTAAGCTTTATATGATACACAAGTGGGCAGCCCCGTCCTATTGATGGGGTGATATGAAACCCACGTGAAACTTATTTGGCTTGCCAAATCCCACATGCCTATCTGTTGTATGATTTTGACACTTGACTGCCTTACTACGCATTGAGATGTAAATCCCTGAAGGGATAAACAATGCTGGTTAAAATGTCTTTTTTTCAGAATGTCATTGTCCGTTCAATAAACTAAGCTTGCAAGTTAAATTTCTTTTAAATTTTATTGAGCAGTTTTCGGAGAAGCTCCTTTTGACAAAGATGCAGATTGTCCACTCGTCATAGAGATGGGCCACGATCAACAATGATGTGTGGTTGTGGATCTTCTTTTTGTAATCCGTTGGGTCTCAGCTGGTGGCAGTGTGGTGCGTGAGCGAGTGGGTGGTTGCTGGGAGGCCCCCTTCTCTTCGTCTGGTGGAGCTTGGCCCAGGACGTGGCAGCCTGGCCAGTGATATGCTCCGGGTTTGTCCTCCCCTTGAAATCATTTCCCGCATCTCCGATTAGCACAGTTAGCTATGTATGGTGCAAAAGAAGTTCAACATACATACATGCAAATGCACATCACAATCCTCATCAACAACATCAAATACGTCACCTGACGTTATTTCACCCAAGACTGCGGTAACATAGGTTTAGTGTTCAAATATAAGTGTGAAATATATTGGTTTTCAAACATTTTTTTAATTATGACACATTTGAAACACACATACAGATTCCAACAATGAGTTCCATAAATCAAAAGCTTTGTGATTATTCCATATATATGGGTCTCTGTGAGTCCAAGGGTCTATGTGAGGCTGATGGTCTCTATGTTAATCTGTGGGTCTATGTAAGTCTGGTCTCTATTTAAGTCACTGGGTCTATATGCGAGTCTACGCTTCTCTACGAAAATCTCTGTCGTTGATTCTTAAATTCCCCGCAGTATGAGCGAGAATCCTCCACATCCGTTCTCTGCTCTTTCTAGGTGGTGGAGCAGTTGAGGCAAGTTCTGGACAAAACGGAGGTGGCTCTGAACTTGGTGGAAGTGAGCTCCACATTGAGCGAGGTCCAAGAGCAGGTTCTCATCGGCACGACGCAAGATCAGCAGACGAACCTGGATTCCCACACGCAAAGGGAATCTTCCACCTACAAACAACGTGTAACGCGGAGTGGAATTCCAGTCTGCTGGCATCGGAATCTGCAAGATGTGCCAGAAGGTCAACTGTGCCAAATTCATTTCATGTTTTAACAAAGAAAACCAAAGAAGCTATTTTTATTAATATCAATAATCTTACGTAACAGCTTTAAGTAATAACGTTTATTTGACGCGATGTCATTTTTTTATAGGCTTCACTTTCTTTGTGGCACATGAATTCTTTGATGCATTGCCCATCCATACGTTCAAGGTTAGTGTGCTTTTGTTTTTGTGTTTTTATGGCTGTGAATCGCTCGTGAAAATGTGCTTAATCGGTTCTGTTGTATGACCTGATTTCCATTACCAGAACCACAGTGTAAATAAATAATGCTTGAGTTGCACACCGTACACCACATCAGGAGAACCCACCCATGACTTAATTTCATACGGCCCTTGGCCACATCATGGGGCCAGTCACTTCGAATCGGCCTGCAAATGATATTTGTCCCTTGCTGAAAGCATATTGGTCACATTAATCAGATACCAGAGGGGAAGGTGTGTGACCTGCCAATGCTTTCTAGTTTTAAAATGCGTTGTCACCTGTTATGATTCAAAGTTCTGAGCACCGCAGTCAATACATGCAGACCTAACTGATTAATGCATAGAGTCCTACGTTTAGTTAATGGATACAGTTTAAAGTTTAGTATTGACTAATGTGTGGCCCACAAAAGCTATTCGAAAATCCTATTGGGCACCTCAAGAATGAAACGTTTCCGTACCTCTGCTCGACACTTGTGCTTTGTTACTTTTAGCCAGCAATGGGAAAGAAAAAAAATAAAAGCAGTGTTGTTTGTATGCAGAAAACGGAGCGCGGCTGGAGGGAGGTGATGGTCGACATTGATCCGGAGTTGCCTTTTGGGTTGAGGTTTGTGATGGCTCCGACTCCCAGCTTGGCCTCGAGTGCTCTTGTTCAGGTCAGGTTAAAACACAAAAAAACAATCCCCACTGTCTAGCTTTTGAGATTTCTGTCTTCTGCCATCTCACCTAATTAAGCTGTGTGTAATAATACCTGCATGGGGTTGTCCTGGTCCTTATTTAGGACCATGGAGGGCTGAACAGGGAGATACATAAGCCAAGCCATGGTTAACTGCCAAATTAACTTAATGCATTTTTCCGAAAAGTGATATTCCATACGGGCCCTTTATAATGAGTTTGATTTTGTCTGGATTAAGAAAAATAATATTTGCTGTGTCGTGGTGTTTTATGTACCTGATTCAGCAGTTGCATGTAATATAGAGAGAGTTGTAGAAAGCTGGGATTCAAGTATTCAGAGATCATATGTGGGAAAATGGTGCCCTCTGTCGTTTGCAGCCTTGTATTGCTCGTATTACAAAGTCCAAGTACAATTGGTCTACGATAATTTATCTAACAATTGGTCTACGATAATTTATCTAACGCTCATTAGATGAGAATATATGAATCTGTCGAGATATGACAGAATAGCAATGGAATAGTGCTGTGCAGGGCTTAATTTCAGCCGGGTCAATCCTGCCCGGCAACCCTGGATGATTATTTACGCACCCGCCATAACCACGTCCAGTATGCCTGCCGCTACGGCTGTGGCTACCAGTCACGTGCCTTCTCCAACCGGCCAGCGATCCAGGCAACAACAGCATTGAGTAATATTGAGTAAGTGAGATGTTAAGCTCCGGTGCTGGGTGCGTGGCCACAAGCAGCTGCGCGATTCTTCCGCTCGTCGGACCGCAGGCCGGGGAGGTGCGGGAGCACGTGGAAGTGTGCCCGGAGGCCGCGGTGCTCGTGGCGAACCTGGCCAAGCGCGTGGCCGCACACGGCGGGGGGGCGCTCATCGCCGATTATGGGCACGAGGGCACCGGCACCGACACCTTCCGGGTGAGCTCCCCTCCCTCTCGCCATGGGACAAAACTGAGCAAAGTGGCGCGGATCCTGCAATGCCACGGTGTGAACATTTCACTGCCAATCTCATTGTTCCCATCCCCACAGTGGTCATCCTCTCCCGGTGCTTTATTTCCTTTGGGTGCCATTTGATTGTACATTTTTTCGATTGGCCAAGCCTACTTTATTTCCGTGGCCGTCTGGAATGCTCTTCCAATATTAGGAAGCCGCTGGAGCGATGCACTTTTAAATCTAGATTGAAAACTCAGTTCTTTAGAACTGCTTGTTTGTGTTTAGTTTGTTGTCCTTCCACCCACACCTCCGATTAGCACGGTTGACTACGCACAGTTGTGAAAGAAGTTCACCATACATACATAAAGTCAAGATGATGTGTCACTTTCTTCTTTGATTCACGTGCCCCTCTTCACTTCTCTTGGTGTAATTCTAATCATATATTTCAACGATTCTTTGCAAAAATTTCAGCATTGTTCCATTTTCCCATTCACATGCCATGAAGAGGCCCTCATCCAGCAGTGGATTGGAAAAGAGCTGCACGTGTATATGTCATTATGTCAAATTATACAGTAAACTGCACGGTTTTACATAAACGGTGCATGCATTTTTTTAATGCATAACCTAGGTTCATTTACAATTACAGTGAGGGAAAAAAGTATTTGATCCCCTGCTGATTTTGTACGTTTGCCCACTAACAAAGAAATTATCAGTCTATAATTTTAATGGTATGTTTATTTGAACAGTGAGAGACAGAATAACAACAAGAAAATCCCGAAAAACGCATGTCAAAAATGTTATAAATTGATTTGCATTTTAATGAGGGAAATAAGTATTTGACCCCCTCTCAATCAGAAAGATTTCTGGCTTCCAGGTATCTTTTATACAAGTAACGAGCTGAGATTAGGAGCACACTCTTAAAGGGAGTGCTCCTAATCTCAGCTTGTTACCTGTATAAAAGACACCTGTCCACAGAAGCAATCAATCAATCAGATTCCAAACTCTCCACCATGGCCAAGACCAAAGCGCTTTCCAAGGATGTCAGGGACAAGATTGTAGACCTACACAAGGCTGGAATGGGCTACAAGACCATTGCCAAGCAGCTTGGTGAGAAGGTGACAACAGTTGGTGCGATTATTCGCAAATGGAAGAAACACAAAAGAACTGTCAATCTCCCTTGGCCTGGGGCTCCATGCAAGATCTCACCTCGTGGAGTTGCAATGATCATGAGAACGGTGAGGAATCAGCCCAGAACTACACGGGAGGATCTTGTCAATGATCTCAAGGCAGCTGGGACCATAGTCACCAAGAAAACAATTGGTAACACACTACGCCGTGAAGGACTGAAATCCTGCAGCGCCCGCAAGGTCCCCCTGCTCAAGAAAGCACATATATATATGCCCATCTGAAGTTTGCCAATGAACATCTGAATGATTCAGAGGACAACTGGGTGAAAGTGTTGTGGTCAGATGAGACCAAAATGGAGCTCTTTGGCATCAACTCAACTCGCCGTGTTTGGAGGAGGAGAAATGCTGCCTATGTCCCCAAGAACACCATCCCCACTGTCAAACATGGAGGTGGAAACATTATGCTTTGGGGGTGTTTTTCTGCTAAGGGCACAGGACAACTTCACCGCATCAAAGGGACGATGGACGGGGCCATGTACCATCAAATCTTGGGTGAGAACCTCCTTCCCTCAGCCAGGGCATTGAAAATGGGTCGTGGATGGGTATTCCAGCATGACAATGACCCAAAACACACGGCCAAGGCAACAAAGGAGTGGCTCAAGAAGAAGCACATTAAGGTCCTGGTGTGGCCTCGCCAGTCTCCAGACCTTAATCCCATAGAAAATCTGTGGAGGGAGCTGAAGGTTCGAGTTGCCAAACGTCAGCCTCGAAACCTTAATGACTTGGAGAAGATTTGCAAAGAGGAGTGGGACAAAATCCCTCCTGAGATGTGTGCAAACCTGGTGGCCAACTACAAGAAACGTCTGACCTCTGTGTTTGCTAACAAGGGTTTTGCCACCAAGTACTAAGTCATGTTTTGCAGAGGGGTCAAATACTTATTTCCCTCATTGAAATGCAAATCAATTTATAACATTTTTGACATGCGTTTTTCTGGATTTTTTTGTTGTCATTCTGTCTCTCACTGTTCAAATAAACCTATTAAAATTATAGACTGATCATTTCTTTGTCAGTGGGCAAACGTACAAAATCAGCAGGGGATCAAATACTTTTTTTCCCTCACTGTATTAGTCTATGTTATTGAAGAATGTGGTAAGCTTTTAAGAGTTGTCTTTCAATGGCGAGCACAGTATAAATGCGATTAGATTCCATCATGCACCGTGTGCGTAATGTTCCGTGTTTTTTCCTGCCATGCGTGTGCATGCGTGCGCGTGTGTGCGCGTGCGCAGGGCTTCCGTGGCCACAAACCGCACCACGTGCTTTGCGCCCCAGGGTTGGCTGACCTGACGGCCGACGTCGACTTTGCATACCTGCGTCGCGCCGGCGAGGGCCACGATGTGACCTGCCTGGGGCCAATCGCCCAGCGAGATTTTCTTCAAAACATGGGCATCGACCTGCGCTTGAAGGTTAGAATTCGGACCCCGATTCGTGCTCAGACATGCTTGGTGTGGACTAGCAAGGCTCTTTTTCAGTGGTGTATTGTGGTTAGCATGAACCCTCGTGCGAGGAATTGAATGGAACTCCCTGTCCCAATTTCTCCACCTTATTATTAACCCTGCACCCACGGCCCACCTGTCTTGTGGGCCTCTGTGCAGTTGCACCCCCTGCACACTTGATTGCAGCTACGTCTCGCTTGCTCCTTGGTTCTACTGTTCCAAGCTAAAGATGACGTGGCATAAGATCACCGCCAATTGCACATCTCACTCAATTTCACGTTGCCAAATAGTTTTTTTTATTCTTACACCTTGTATGCACAATTCATTGGCAGATCCGTGCGTGTCTGTGCTTGTCCGTGTACAGGACACCGCTCTGTAATAAAACAAATTGAATTGTTTTTCCTGGCACAGTGAACTTGGCACATTTATCCCTCATTAAACTTAATGACATTTTCCATTGAGATTTATGGCTTTCCTGACTGCAGGAATTCATATACTTTGAATCTATCTACGTGACTTTACCGAAAGACGCAAATAATATTTATGGCTTTGTAAAGTAATTATTTAAAATCACAAAGTTATGTTAATTGTAAATAAATGTGTGCTTTATTTATCCGAGTAAACATCATTACCATTTTTCCCGTCGGTCCTGCCGTAGGATGATTTTCAATATGGTTTTCAAGGATGTCATTAAGGTTAATTAACTGGCTTTGACTTATAGTGTGTTTGGTTAAAATCTCTATCAACCCAAAGAACTCCTGTTACATATAGATATAAACATCAACAGACATACAAACCACAACAGAAAACTTGACTGGGATAGCATGTTATAAATTTGACCTTTCGAACAGGGCTTGATTTATCACCGATTTTTTTGGGGTTGCTCGTAAGCTGTTAAAGGTGGCACGTGACTAGTGGCGACAGCCATAGTGAGATGTTTATACTTAATGCAGTGTGCTGTGTGCTTTCCGGTTCAGCGAGCCGGACTGAAATTTTTCCCTGCTTATGAATATCGTTCTCAGCCTCTTACCGCGCTTGCCATTTGAAGTGTGAGTGATGTATTGTTACAGCGTTCTCATTTACCTGCAAACAAAGGGCATCTTTTTTCCCCATACATTTCCTTCCATACTGGTTGCGTTTCACTGGGTCTGAAAATATTTTCCAGGTCGTCGACTTGGACCGGCCCCGGTTGGTATTATGCCCTGCTCTTGTGAATAATGTTTACGGCGGCATCTTGTAGCGCTTGACATTCGAAGTGCGTGTGATGTATTGACGCAGAGTTACGATTTAGCTACGCGCCAGCGGAACCCCTTTCACACGCTTTCCTTTCTTGCCTCGGGGCGCGCGTGCTGGAGAGCCGGCTCTCAGGAGTTGTTTGTGGCCTCCGGGGCACGGCACCTGTGGAGGATAGTGAAGATCCTCACGCAGTGCCACGCCGATGCGTGTGCTCGCCTTATCGGCTTATCGCCCTGAAAGTGTGTTTATCAACAAGCACCAGGACTTGTTGTGACAACAGAGGCAGGAGCCAAGAAATAAAAAGGAAAGAACAAAAAATCATTAAGATGTCACCTCTCGAAAAAGTGTCACATTATATTGTAAGCACTTGTGTTCTTTTTTCAGAAGATATTTTAATGATTTTATATCGAAGCCGATTGTACTTAAAATCATGCATGCAGGTAAAATAATTCATTCTTTGTTTATTGATCTGAAGCTAATGCGTTTGTGAAACATACAGTTTAACAGTAAAGCATTTCTTATCAACACAGCGACTTGTGTAAATCTAGGCCAAGAAAAGATATGCACACATGGATGAATATTTATGTGCACACATTGTAAAATAATTATTACAGGAATGCCCAGGTTAACCCAGGAATTTCTCATTGAGTCTTGAGACTCCCAGGAGGGTCCTGCATTGAAATGTTTGGCCAATTCCACGAATTAGTGTTTGACATACGGTATAAAACCAGAGTGGCCAGAGAAAACCACACTCGTACGACGAGGGGAAAACACTCGAAGCTCCGCACATTTGGATTCCATCCGCTTGCTCTACTGCCATCTCTTGGTCACCTCACAGCCTCAGTGGGTTGGGGGTTTCAGAAATGTGTGCGGTCCACCACCCCTCGCCCTCAAAGCGCCGGATTGCAGGTGTGTGCTTCACCCCCACACTGGGCTCTCCTCTCGTGCTTATCGTGATGACCAGTTTTCATATTGCACTTACCTATTGAATTTCTTAATGCGAGGTATTCACCAGCACAAAGCATGCCCACAATGGTGGAGCTGAGAGCTTCCTTACGCCGGCATCTCATATTCTCCCTCCGTCTCTCGGAGCCGAACAAACATTCTGACATGGCAGAAGGGCCTCGGAATGCTCGTTCGGAAAGCAGCTCAGCTTACAGTGTGGCCTCATCAGTGGACCCGATGGGAACAATGCACCGAATAGCTTTTGGATCATTAATATTTGTGCCGGTCGATGCTGTTATAGGATAGAGGCTGGAATTTACATCGAGGTTCAATTGAATTTTGATTGAAAGATTTCGTGACTGCAGTAATTCATATTCTTGGTTCTTTCAGTAAAGTCACGTTGGAGGGAAACAATAAAATATATATTGTTTTATATATATTTTATTACTTTATTGTTTCCCTTCAACGTGACTTTACCGAAAGAACCAAGAATATAAGGTTCAATTGGTCTCTGTGAGTGTGTGAGTGACTACATTTCCGGCAGCCACATTTATAATACAGATGTTAATGATTTGCTTCCCACCACCCCCCATTTGCGTATTCAGTGAATTTCCAAGATTCAGGGATGCATATTTTCAAATGAAGGATCGATCGTTGTATCGGTTGTGACACCTTTCCCATTCATATTCTTGGTTCTTTCGGTAAAGTCACGTAGAAGGGAAACAATAAAATAATAAAAATATAAAAAATTCTCACGGCTGGATTTATTTTTATTATTTTATTGTTTCCCTTCTACGTGACTTTACCGAAAGAACCAAGAATATGAATCCCTACAGTCACGAAAGCTTTAAATCAAAACCTTTCCCATTGTTCTATAGATTGTGTTCTCGGTATAATTTCATGAAGCGAAGAATCCTAAAAGAAACTCTTGCAGAGCAGTGCAATCATCCATGTTAGAGAATGGTCAGCGGAGGTGGAGGACTCCTTCTGAGATGTCATCAAGTGACTTCTTATCCAAACGAGGGGGCAGCCACTTCCCCACCTGCCCTGCTTACAAAGTAGTGTTCATCGCATTGCAGTCAAACTGAATTTATTTAAATTACAGACCTTGAATTTACACAAATTGACTGCAGAACAATATATAAAGTAGTGGGTTTTTTGCGTACGGTCTGGTGACTGGGCTAAGACGAACTCACTACACTGGAAAACCCAGTTCATCACGGGTAGTTGCCCGGAATCTAACCCAGGATTTCAGTGGTGCCAACAATGTCACGGTAATGTGAAAGTTCTCTCCGGCTCGCCCCAAGGCTTGGTACTGTAAACAAGTGCCCCTCCAACTCGTTTGTGCGGCAGACTTTTTTAATTAGGCATATTTCACTCAACCCTCGCAAACTTTGCACGTGATATTTTTGTGTCGCCAGTAGCTGAAAAGGGGGGTGATATCTGTGTAGGGTAAAGTGGGGACATGTCGTCCATTGGTTCCTATGTCCAGAGGCAGCCTGGAAAATGAGGGCTCGAGCCCGTGGCACACATTGAACTCTCATAAACCCTCGTTCCAACTTTAGCAAATCCTCGTTATTTTTTCATGTGAATTTTTTTTTCTTCCAAATGTCATTTTTCACATTGGCCAATGTTGTGTAACAATACTGGGTATGATTAAGGCACAGCAAAAGGTTGTTTGGCAGACACAAACATTGCAATATTTTGATTTAAAGCTTTCGTGACTGCAGTAATTCATATTCTTAGTTTTTTCGGTAAAGTCACGTTGAAGGGAAACAACAAAATAATAAAATATATATAAAACAATAAAAAATTCTCACGACGTTTCGACCATAACTCAAACGGTCGTCTTCAGGTGTGTTGGTTTGCATAAATTTATTTTTAAACGGCGTTCAGACAGCATACATTATACAAAATTTCGTCTCCCCCCTCCTCTTTTCAGAATATAGATGGACTAGTCCTAAATAAACTGCCAAATCGTTGCGCGTGGCGCTAACGTTTTTTATAAATAAATAAATGCGCCGTTTAAAAATAAATTTATGCAAACCAACACACCTGAAGATGACCGTTTGAGTTATGGTCGAAACGTCGTGAGAATTTTTTATTGTTTTATATATATTTTATTATTTTGTTGTTTCCCTTCAACGTGACTTTACCGAAAAAACTAAGAATATTGCAATATTTATTGTGTTGCATTGAAACATTAAATATTAAATCGTCTGTGATGTCATTGCAATGCATCAGTGATGTCATGGAAGCTGCTTACCTTTTAAACAAATGGTTGAACATACAACAATTTACCCTGCCCCTCCCATCCCCTGCACTCCCCCAATTCCCCCACAGTAGTTTGATCAATTGTCCTCATGCTATGTCAGGATTCAATAATAATTTTTGTCTTGTTTTTACCATTGTCATTTGTGTTCTAATTTTTTGTCTGCCTTGTACAGTCGTAAAATTTTTATTTAAAGCTTTCGTGACTGCAGGGATTCATATTCTTGGTTCTTTCGGTAAAGTCACGTAGAAGGGAAACAACAAAATAATAAAAATATAAAACAATAAAATTATCCCGACGTTTCGACTGCAACACAAGCAATCATCATGAGGTGTGAAAACCACAACAAGAAAAATTGAAAAAAAAATTCAAATTTTCTTGTTGTGGTTTTCACACCTGATGATGATTGCTTGTGTTGGAGTCGAAACGTCGTGAGAATTTTATTGTTTTATAATTTTATTATTTTGTACAGTCGTGTTTAGTTTTGTTCGCTGTATTGACTTTACCGTATAATTAGCATATAACTTGCATATATATTCTTTGGGTCTTTCGGTAAAGTCACGTTGATGGGTTCTACGAAAATAACTAAAAACTAAGGCTTTTTCATCGCGATACAAGCGTGCGTCTTCCTGATGATGGAACGCTTGTGTTGCGATCGGAACGTCGTAGTTTTTTGTTATTTTCATGAACCTATCTACGTGACTCTACCGAAAGACCCAAAGAATGTGAATTCCTGCAGTCACGAAAGCTTCAAGTCAAGATTTAACTTGCATATACTTTGCATAAGTCATGAGGTGTCGTTTTATTTTTCATGCGCTAAAATGTGGTGCATGAGCAAAATAATTGATATTACTTCAGCAATCGATGCATTGTTACTTGTGTACTCAGGGTTCGCGATCTTGTCAGTCTTGAAAAACCTGCATACACAACAGCGGGTGGTCTCTGCCTTCTTTTCAAACTCAGATTCTGCTGCGAAACGCGGGTGACCCGGAGACTCGGCAACGATTGCTGGCCGGCTACGAAATGCTGATGAGCCCGGAGAAGATGGGCACGCGATTCAAGTTCTTCTCCTTGGTTCCGAGTGCACGATTGTTACCCGGCCCGACTCAGGAATCTACAAAGAGCCCAGCGCCACCACCCGTGCCAGGTTTCAGTGAACTCGTCATGAAATGACCTGCAAAAGTCCTGTTTGCATTTGCACATCTTCTGTAACTACCGTGTTTTACAACCAGCCCACCACTGGATGGAGGCCTCCCTATGACTTTCACTTATGGAGGTTTGGCACTTATTCGTAGCGTGGTGGTGTATGTCTGTAATCCTAGACTGTAGAGGTAAGTGTTCGTGGATCACACAAACATTGTGAAACTCCCTTGTGGACTCCCACCTATTTAAATGTGGACCCCACCTATTCAGGCTGTAAGGGATAGTGTGTTGTCATCTTCCATGCGTGGGGTTTCTCCGGTTGCTCTGGTTTACTCCCACATGTAAACACTGATTGACTGAAAAAATCTTAACATATGGAGAACCGCAGAGCGTAGGCAATTGTTGGCACTGGCTGGGCGTGTGGCTGTCTTACTTGTCACTGATATTAGGCATGGCTGGGAATCAAACTCGGGTCGCCAAGTTAATAGCAGCACCACTTGACTCAGACTTCCCTTTATGTGAAACCATCAAATAGAGTAAAACTATAACATTTAAAAATGTACAGTGCAAATGTAAAGGAGTGGAAGGTCACTTCCAAAGATTAACATAAGTTGCACTGCTCTGTTATTTATTTTAGTGTTTGATAACGAGAACACAAAAAACCTGCTTTTAAAACCACTCGACAACTGACGTGTTATTCTGATTTGTTCAAACACAGTGCGTTTAAAGTTTAAAGCAGCGCACAATCATGTGTCCAAAGCGCAAGCCTCTGTGCATTTTGCTAAAATATTCAGCATTTCTTGAAGAAGTGCATTTTGGTCCTCTTGCCTTAGGTCACCATCGAAATTAATTTGAGTAAATGTGACCACTTTGGACCTGGTTACCTCCATACGACTGTTCGGGGAATTCTGTGTTCCAACCTGCGCTATTATTCTCTTATATGATGGGATTTTCTCATCATGTACAGATTTTATTCATGTCACACTTGCATAACTTTTACCGAGGCCTCCGTTTCACGTAACTTGCAGCCTCAAAATTTGACGGCGTTGTGAAACGTGAACTCTGGAGAAACTTAAGAAATAAACGAGTAACAATAAATACTGATCGTGTTTTTTTTATGTGTTTGGTAGAAGAGGACTTCGATAGAGATATATTTTCAATTGAAGCTGGAATTGGCATGGACTTCATTCCTAAATTGGCAACAACACAGGCAACAAAATACAGCATAGCCTAATCCGTTTAAACTGCAAAGAGCTCATTATTATAATTCTAGTACAACTTGTGCTTAAGTACACCTATATATCGATTGTTGTGCTTCTGGTACAACTGCATGTCAATGCAATGTGATTACACCAATGGTATCGGGAAAACGTACACAATTCAGGGCCAGTCTTTTTTGTACATTATGTTTGAAATGTAATTCTTTGAATTTTTAGGCAGTTGTGTGCACGCATGTGTACGTCACGTGGCGAGGTTGGAATTGTTTACAGAGAACCTACGGGTACAATCCTGATGTTAGGCCCAACGTATTGCCATGTGTAGCTAAACACCACGGCGATAATCGTTAATTAAAAAAAATTGCTGAGGACATCCGGTGTCGGATGAGGTCTTGTGGATGCCTGCCTCGATAACCATTCTATGTATCTCTATCACACCACCTTTTGTGAGGGGTGTCAACGGTTTTCCCTCCCTCCCAGCAATGTGGGGAATTGTCGCAGTTCAGCGTCATGATTTGATCGACGAATTCAATGTTTTGCTATCTCGCTTTTTGTCTCGTGTGTTCATGTCGCTTTCATGAGCGCATTTGTAAGGGCAGGACCACCGCACGCAATTTTCAAATATCTTAGACGATCAATTCTTGCACGTGTGCGATTCGATGCCGTGTACCGTGAGCCTTCACGAACCGCGTTGACCCTGCGATGGGGCAGCGTGGTAATTCAATCCCCATGGCCAGCACGGCATGGGGAGGGAGCCCTACATAGTCTCAAATTGACGAAGCTTGGAAAAAAATTGCGAGCCTTAAGAACTGATATCAATTGACGAATCCACGCATCACCACGCCCTCTGCTTGACACTGATCGGTGTAACAACCATTCACCAAGTTATCCTGCAGGTGGCACCAAGCCAAAGCCCTCACTGTAGGGAGAAAATGTCAAAAGCACATTTATCCTTGATTTGCAATGGCACTGCAAGCTTTATTTTTTTTACTGGCATCTCACACATGAGTTTCAAATGGCAGTATCCAGTTCAGCAGAGGTATGTTAAACAAGCATCGTAATTAATCTCAACAGTGGTATTGCATCATTTTCTTATAAGTGTAACAAATGAGAAAAAAACAGGAACAACTTAGCAAAGTCGAAACCTGTAGTTCGGATGCATCTTGTCCCACTCACCGATGTTCAATAGCATGACCCACTTTCAAACATATTGCTTGCTTATCACAGTAGTTTTGCTGTGAGTGGACATTTTTTTTTAGAAAGTAGGGCAGCCATGATCAATACAGGTGACATCGTTAATCTCAACAGTTGTGTTGCATCTTTTGTGTGAAAAGTTAAAAAGAAAGGACTCGAATGGCCGTTCGTGAAGTCAAAGCCCGTTTTATGTGGCAGCTTGTCCAATCCAACTTGTCGATGCTCAATAACGATGACCTAGTTTGGAACGTATTGCTCGATTTTAAATGTGTGTTGCTGCACAGCAGTGGGTAATTCTAAGAAGGGGGACATCTGTGAGCAATCATCCAGAAGTGAAATGGTGTTGCCGTGGAGATTTCGTGTTTGGTATCGGACACGTTCAAGATTATGGACCACACACTCAATTATTTAAAATCATTATTCATTAAAGACAGACACGTAATTGAGATTTTTTTCGATAGATTATTTTTTAATGTATTTTAAGTTCAAATGTGGAATGCTTTCATCTCTGTCCAAATTAATTCATTGTTCCTTAAACTCTGTCCGTGTCTCCAGATCCAATTTCTGTGGTTCCATTGTAACACAGGTCTGCACTGTGAGACTGAAACAAACTTTCTCTCTCGTGATCCAATATATTGTTGCGATTCTGGGTCACGTTTTTGTTCAAGACATGGTTCCCGTATTAACATTGTTAATGTTATGATCGTTAATGGTTGGAAAGTATCACATGAACCTATTACACATGATATTAATCACAATCATTGTTTTTCACACAATCAATTTGATGCATGTATCGTACATTTAAGAACAGATTCAATAATAATTCACTTAATTGTTGAACTCTTAGTGTGCTATATTGTGAATTATTGGCTTGTGTGTGAAAAAATAAAACATGAAAATGAGAATTTAAGTTATTTAGCAATGCTGCGTTGGCATTGTGGTACACAAACACAAATATGAATAATAGCAACAACAAAAAACTCAACACATTCGTCAATAACACTGTGGCCTTCAAATGAAAGATATGTCGGTGACATTTCAGGAAATAGTTCTTCATAGAACATAAAATAATTTAACCATACGATGTTTTAAAAAAAGTTTTGCTGGCTGGCTGGCTGGCTTCCAGGCTGGCTGGCGAGTTGAGCCGGGTTCGTGCGTGGCGCTGATGTCACACATCAACCTCTCCACCCTCCCACCTGAGCCGTGGTTCTTGGGCCACTGCCCGATAAGTTGGCTTATGTATATTTAATTTAAAGGCAGTATTGTTGAAGATTGTGTTGAGTTTTTGTTGACATGAGAATTAGGTACTCGGTGGTTGTTGCGTCACAGGTGGCGGCGGCTTGGGGAGGCTTTCATCCAGCAGTGGATTGACCATGGCCGATGATCATGATGGACACGAGAATCAGATGTGGGATCAATTTGGAACCGCGAGGCTCAGTGCATGTTTTAGAATGGTGGAACAGCTGTTGTGTTTTTTTAACTGCCACCTTCGTAAATGTCAGATATTTGTCATGTATAAAAGAAAATGTGTTTTTGTTTTCAAGTTTATATGTTGCGCCGTTTGTTTATAGCTTTGACTATTGCATTGTTTTAACAACAGATAGTGAGCGAAAAAATTATTTGATCCCCTGCTGATTTTGTACGTTTGCCGACTGACAAAGAAATTATCAGTCTATAATTTTAATGGTAGGTTTATTTTAACAACAAAAAATCAAGAAAAACGCATGTCAAAAATGTTATAAATTGATTTGCATTTTAATGAGGGAAATAAGTATTTGACCCCTCTGCAAAACATGACTTAGTACTTGGTGGCAAAACCCTTGTTGGCAATCACAGAGGTCAGACGTTTCTTGTAGTTGGCCACCAGGTTTGCACACATCTCAGAAGGGATTTTGTCCCACTCCTCTTTGCAGATCTTCTCCAGGTCATTAAGGTTTCGAGGCTGACGTTTGGCAACTCGAACCTTCAGCTCCATCCAAAGATTTTCTATGGGATTAAGGTCTGGAGACTGGCTAGGCCACTCCAGGACCTTAATGTGCTTCTTCTTGAGCCACTCCTTTGTTGCCTTGGCCGTGTGTTTTGGGTCATTGTCATGCTGGAATACCCATCCACGACCCATTTTCAATGCCCTGGCTGAGGGAAGGAGGTTCTCACCCAAGATTTGACGGTACATGGCCCCGTCCATCGTTTCTTTGATGTGAAGTTGTCCTGTGCCCTTAGCAGAAAAACACCCCCAAAGCATGTTTCCACCTCCATGTTTGACGGTGGGGATGGTGTTCTTGGGGTCATAGGCAGCATTCCTCCTCCTCCAAACACGGCGAGTTGAGCTGATGCCAAAGAGCTCCATTTTGGTTTCATCTGACCACAACACTTTCACCCAGTTGTCCTCTGAATCATTCAGATGTTCATTGGCAAACTTTAGACGGGCATGTATATGTGCTTTCTTGAACAGGGGGACCTTGCGGGCGCTGCAGGATTTCAGTCCTTCACGGCGTAGTGTTACCAATTGTTTTCTTGGTGACTATGGTCCCAGCTGCCTTGAGATCATTGACAATATCCTCCCGTGTAGTTCTGGGCTGATTCCTCACCGTTCTCATGATCATTGCAACTCCACGAGGTGAGATCTTGCATGGAGCCCCAGGCCGAGGAAGATTGACAGTTCTTTTGTGTTTCTTCCATTTGCGAATAATCGCACCAACTGTTGTCACCTTCTCACCAAGCTGCTTGGCAATGGTCTTGTAGCCCATTCCAGCCTTGTGTAGGTCTACAATCTTGTCCCTGACATCCTTGGAGAGCTCTTTGGTTTTGGCCATGGTGGAGAGTTTGGAATCTGATTGATTGATTGCTTCTGTGGACAGGGGTGTTTTATACAAGGAACAAGCTGAGATTAGGAGCACACTCTTAAAGGGAGTGCACCTAATCTCAGCTTGTTACCTGTATAAAAGACACCTGGGAGCCTGATATATTTCTGATTGAGAGGGGGTCAAATACTTATTTCCCTCATTAAAATGCCAATCAATTTATAACATTTTTGACATGCGTTTTTCTGGATTTTTGTTGTTATTCTGTCTCTCACTGTTCAAATAAACCTCGCATTAAAATTATAGACTGATCATTTCTTTGTCAGTGGGCAAACGTACAAAATCAGCAGGGGATCAAATACTTTTTTCCCTCACTGTATGCTGCGGCATAAATGCACAGGGTAATCTTGCTAGCTATGAAATATAATATTCAAAATAGAGCAAAAGCCTTAACGTTCGTATAACCACATTCTCGAAAACTGCAAAGTTGACATTGCAAGTTTATATAAAAAAAATCTTATATGAAAAGGATACCTGATTATTTCATCTGCAGTACCCCAAAAGTGGCATTAATTGCCAGATACAAAATGTATTTCTTCTGTGTAAACTGATAAGGATATATCTAAAATCGTGACAATCGTTATCACACTTAAAATTGATCTTTTCAGCCTTCCTGAAATCGTTATATGTATATATAAAAACACTTTCATAGGACAATAAATATAACAATGGCAGATGTCACAAAACATACGAGAACAACGCCCTTCATTTACCCAGGGAACAAACTCGACTGAGTCTTAATATGGTCTTCTTTGGGATGTTTGACCAATTCCTGCTTTTCGAATTTTTAGTTTTTGAAAGAAAACCAGAGCACGTACCCAACAAGAAAAAATAATGCACGCATACAAGGGGACATCATCACTCAAACCTGCCACTGATTTAGAGGTCACCAACTCACAGGTCTCCCTCGCTATATGCAGTTTAAGTTTGTGCAATTTCGCGTATATGTGGCTAGCCTATTTCTACCAATTATGCACGGATGTTTTATTTATTTATTTATGGTTATTATTCTTGAAGCCAAAGAACATGAGTCACAGAGGAGATACATTCCACGTGTCCACAACCATCCTTGGTCCAGCCGCAACCTCCGAGTAATTCTTCCCGCAAATGGGAGCCGATTAAAGTTACCCGGATTCACGACGCTACAACAGGAGAGGGATAACGGTCAGGAGCAGTAGGTTAACCAGGTTAACCAGGGAAACGCGTGCACGTAGCCAACCGTGCTAATCGGAGGTGTGCGGAACCCGTATGCAACTCTGCACTTGGATGTGGCACAACACTTTGTATTGTGCTGTGTACGCTACTCGGCAGACAGCTGTGTCGTGCAGTTTTGCTTTGTGCCCCCATTTTTTTGGAACGCATCCACCGCATAGAGCGAGGGGAACCTGTACTTTGATTTACCGCCTTCCACAGGCCACCTTAAAACCCTGTCGGCAGTCCCACACTGAACCACAGGTCTGTGCCGCCACCCTGCTCGTCAAAAGGCACGTTCAGGTGGCTTTCCAAAGAAAAACAAAATGCTTCACTGGATGAAATATCTCGACATTATTAATACTGTACTCGTTCAAGGGCACCAGTTTCCCAAGGATGCCCTGGAACTTAACTATAAACCAAAACAATGTTTTATTTTACCAGGTAAGGCCCACTGAGCTTATATAGCTCTCTTTCAGAAGTGACCTGGCCAAAATCGATAGCTCAGCGAAGTGGCTTATCGTCACGTGGAGATTTATAGCGGCCAGATCCTCTAAATCAGTGGTTCTTAACCTTTACTGCAGGCTTGCACCCCTTTGGTTCTCAATCGTAAAAAAAATATGTTAATAAATACATAGGTTTGGTGAAACAAAGTAGTTGTATTTACATGCCCGTGCTTAATTTGGGTTTCAATTATTTAACTTCTAAAAAAATCTGGCATGTCTCACACCCCCAGAAAGGGCATCACGCACCCCCAAAGGCATGCGTGCAACCCCAGGTTAAGAAGAGCCACTGCTGTAAACGCGCGTCGATTCTAAATGTGGAGGGAAACGCCGGAGGACCTGGAGAAAATCCACGCGACCACGGGGAGAACATGCAAACTCCCAATATACAGCAGGCGTCAGGGTCGGGATTGAACCCGCGACCTCCTGTATACCAGGAGAGGGAGTTAACATCTCGTCCGGGCTGTCCCAGCTGGGCCCTGGTTGCTTGGTCCTGGGCCATGCCAACTGCGTTGCTCTTGCTCCTTTCCTTTTGTTTTCCTGCACGGATCCCCTCGTCGTCCACCCACCCCTCTTTGACCTTAATGCGGTTTGATAAACCAAAAAAATGCGTAAAGCATCTCTAAATCCATTCGCTTTTAGTTTCTGAATGAATTTAAATTGTTATTGTTGCACTCGTATCAAAGCCAGGCAAGTGAGAAGAGCGCTTGAATCGCAATCAGAAAGTCGGGAGTTCAATTCCTGGTGAGGGGCCGATTCGGTCCCTACTTTGTGAGAAGTTCAGTGGCACCGCTGTCGTATGGGAGACTAACCCCTGCCATGGGAATGTGGAATTTACACTGGAGGCTGAAGGTTGCTGTTGCCAAAGGCCATCCAAAGTTCGCTAGTGCAGATTGAATTGACTTTCTTTAAAATTTGATTCGCCCACAACGCTGACGATCTTTCAGATCTCAGAAGCTAAGCAGACTTGAGCTTATATAGCGCTTGGATTGGCGACCACCATGCATAAAACAAGTGTTAATAGGCTGCGTCAGCAGAAGGCAGTGCAGCAATATCCATTGTATTGTACAATGCCGCAACGCCTATGCACCCTACCTTCACAAACTCTCACGGACCAGCTTGAAATAGGTCAAAGGACCCCACGATCCGCATGGTGTGCGGTGGAGGCCCTCATCCCTCAACGGACTGACACAAGGGCTGTACGTGAACGCAATTTACCAACACTAACATCTCACCAACCACAGCCTTTTACCAAACAGCCACTTTAGCAATGTTCTCAAACAGGGCATGAGAAGGCATTGAAAGGGATGACCAAAAAAAAAAGACTCCTGGGCTGTGCACCTTGAGCCATGGAGACACATTTGACCAGCACGGTGAAGTCCGGTCAAACACCCCTCCAACAACCCACACGGCGTAAAGAAGGCCCACCACCCAGCAGCAGTGGATTGACACGCGCGCTCGGACAAGAAACACAATCATAGGCTGTTGACGCGCTTGCTCAGACACTTCACGATGTCCGAGTCGCTCGAGATATTCGCGAGCCGGTGGTAGCAGTCGCCGCCGCCGCCGCCGTCCGGAAGGAAGCGACCGTTTTCCGCGAGGGCCGCTCTCTCCGCGGAGACGGCGCAGCTCCAGCGGGCGGAGGAGAGGGCGGCCGCCACGGCCGAGTCGCCGAGGCTGTCGCGGAGATGCACGGGGAAGGGCAGGTCGCGGTCGCGCGCGTACTCCTGCCAGCGCGCATCGTCGCTCTCGTGCGTGATGTAGCGCTCGCCCAGACGCAGCTCGAGGTCGCGAAGCTGCAGCCACGTGGGGTAATCCTGCTGGCGAGACCGGGCGAGGCGGGGGCGGGAGGGCCTTTCCTCAAAGGGGGTCAAGATTCTTAGAACCGCTGTTTGTGCTTAGTTTGTGGTCCTTCCCCCCCACCGCACCTCCGATTAGCACGGTTGGCGACGTATAGTGCGTAAGATGATCAACATACAGTACAACATACAGGCTGTTGGGGAAAGGGCTGTTAGCAAGCACCAATAGTGTACGAGGGGGGCGGTGTAACTGGTGCCACGCCTGGCCACCTTTGTCTCCCCAGTACTGGTGTTTACACACCGCCACCAGGTACTCATTTACAGCCGACTTGATCCAAGAGGCCCAGGAACAGTTTAGATAATCACCACTGATGTTAGGCGTGGCCAGGAATTGAACTCGGGCCGCCTGGTTCATAGCGCAGTGACCTAATCACTACACTTCCACTCCCCATGTCATTTACATACAACAACAGCCACCAAGTTTTGTTAATGTCACCACAGCGCTTGTGCCTTCCGAGGTTCCATTCAGGGTGACGTCCCACTGCGGGCTCTGTACCTGTAACCACGGGTGACTCAGCGACTTGTCCACACTGAACCGCTGCCTCATCTTCACCTGAAGCAGGTTACCAATTAAGTCGATGGCTGTAACAGAGCAGCAGCAGCAGCAAACAGGAGCAGAAGCAACGCGAAAAAGGTGTAAAAGTCAATCGTGAATATTCACGTACGGTGTGACGGGACCAATATAAATCATCAACTGTATGGCGGCCGAATATATTCTACTACCATGTATGGGTTAGCGGTTGGGGTCGACTACGGAGTGGCAGCCAAAGGAGGGAATGACCCCGAGAGTCCATCCACCCAGCAGAGGAGACCAGCTTGTGTGCAGGCCCAGGGTGGATTGTTGACATTGCAGGCCCGTGAGAGATGGAAGTGGCTTTCCGGAGGCCTTCAGCAGTTGGTTGGTATGGGCCGACGCTGACTTAGTATGGTAGTAAATGTTACATTTTACAAAAAGTGGCTTCCCAGCAAGCGATATCAGCTGATGGAGCTCATTTTAGTGATGGATGGGAAACTACACTCCACTTACAATGGTCTGGATTCAAACCAATTGACCTTGTGATTGGAAGACCTATTGCTCTGCCAACAGCGCCACGTGAATGCATACTGCATGCAAATCCAGGAGATTCATATGTGCACATGCACGGTTTGTGGACATTAAAGTTGTGTGGGTGCTCACGGTCATTCCCTTTGTATGCGTAACTGCGTGCATTCTACGCTGAGTGCTTACAGACGTGGCTCTGAAATGAAACGGGCTCCGCAGGAGGTTGCTGTAGATTTCCGTCGTCATTATCTTACCACTTCTAGTAGCCTATACATTGTGTCTGACCATACAAACAAAAAAGTTTGAATCACCGTTGACAATTTGACCGACCGCAGGTGGGTTGAAATTTTTTTTTACGAAAATTGGAAGCATTCGGGCGACGGATTGTAGCTGCCCGCACATTCCGCGCGCCGCTCGGCGGGAATTGCACCGCACGCGAGCGGTAAAGAGCGCGCGTTTCTCGCGAGTGGAACACGCCGTGCGATTCCACAGTTTGAGCAACTTTCTTTTTTCACGAGGAATAATTGCTGGTGGAATTGCAGAGTCGTATACATCCGAGCCCATCAGGGGGAACATTTAGCCGAGTTTTTTTTTTGTTCATGATATTTTGTGGCGAGAGCGAGAGAGTCAGGTTTGGATTGTGGAGGGAGGGGGGGGGGGTTGTGGGGGATGGAGCGCATCGGCTGATGAAGCATCGAACGGCTGGGCTAATGAGATCTGCAAATTCGACTCGAAGAAGTGAAGTGCACTTAGGTTGCCGTGCGACGACTGTGATTGTGAGCACCTGGCATGCAGGTCTGGGTGTCCCCCCTTACCACCACCGTCCCCCCCCCCATCACCACCCACCACAATAGAGCAACACTTCGCAATCGGTATTCACGGGTGAGAGAGACAGAGCGAGGGGGACAGTCTTCTCAACAACAAAAAAAACCACTTCGATTCTGAGAGGATCCTTTTGAAATATTTGCGCCACTCATTTTACGCGCACCCTAACTCAACCATCTTCGCCGTTTCGTATTAAAACATTACGCAGTGTTGTGTCATCGCCATTCCAAAGCCAGACACCATTACGGAAGAAACTGAATAACTAAAAAAAATACGCCGAACTCATCTATTCAGGCAAAATTATAAAAGCTTTGCCCTCCCCCGCTTCTATAAATATGCAGAGCTCTCGAGCGGCAATTAATGCACAGCTCTTAAGCTGGTTCAGTGCTGCTCACGTGACTAGAGCTCGCACTCCTCGCTGCTCTTTACCGGTCCTTCACGGTGAAGTGCCGTCGCGTGTCCGCTTTTATTTACTTGTTTTTGCTATCGTCTTGCTCAAATTCCTTTCATTTCTTGTGCAGCTTACGCTGTATATCGGGGGGTGGGGGGGGGGAGTGGACGTGCGATGGTTTGAGGAAATTGTACTCAGGGGTTGGAGGTACAGGTGAGGCCTGTGGAAGCGATGACGTCAACATGGGAGGTGGAAAAAAAACACTCAAGGCTTCACACGAATGGATTCAACGATCCGTTCGATCCATTCGTGTTCTCTGACTTGTTACGTGAGATGCAACCCCAAAAAAAAACACACATTGGAGGATTGCACAGCTCCAGCATGACGAGTCTGAGAGCACCTGCTCACCTCGGAGACGGAGAATAGAAATCGCTCCGTGTGCACATCCTCGGACGATTCGTTACACCGCAAGGGATCGTGAGGGATGACGACGAATCGGCGAGGGCTTCATCCAGCAGTGGATAAAGGCCTCCCCCGGTCGTTGCCATCTCATGATGATGAGATACGGTAGAGTCCCGGGGACTGACGTTAAACCGCAGGTGGCGAGCGGTGGGGCAGCGAGCCCACTCCCCCCCCCCTCCCGCCCGTCCCTAAACTCGGGGGGGGGGGGCACAGCTTTCGGGACGAAGTTCCGCGCAGCTTCTGAACCCCCCTTCCCGACGTAGCGGTTCGTGCTCTGTGCTGGGCTCCGATTGCAATATAATAATACAAAACAATGTACACTGCATCTGGCGATATTGTCATGCGCCGTCGCCACATCTGACAATTACCGTGGGGCGATATCTCGCGCCAAGGGTGCGGCGGGTACATGAAGGCGGCGTTCTGGATCTGCTCGTTGATGTCCTCGTCCTCGTTGAAGGGGAAGGTGCCGCTGAGGCTCACGTAGACGATGACGCCCACCGACCACATGTCGAGCGAGCGGTTGTAGCCCTGTTTGCTGCGAAGGACCTCGGGCGCCAGGTAGGCCGGCGTGCCCACCACCGAGCGGCGGAACGACTTCTCGCCGATGATCCTCGCGAAGCCGAAGTCGCACAGCTTCACCTGCGGTGGCGGAACCGTGTTCAACAAACTAAAACTATTAATTTTTTTTTTTTTTACCAGTTAAGGCCCACTGACTTGCCCATACTGGACATCTGTGAAAAAGAGCTGCATAGATCATGGTAATCCTCCAGTTTATAAATACACATTCTGATTCCGAGCTATATAGCTCTTTTGTAGAAGTGACCTGGCCACAAATGAAACTCAACGAAGTGTATGTATGGACGTTGAACTTATTTCGCACCGTACGTAGCCAAGAGTGGTAACACTATGTAACACAATTTTTGTTCCTGGGTAGAAAGTGTTATTTCCTAATTGCTCATGCCTAAAAAGTAAAGAAAATGGCTATTATTCCCAACAAACTTTGCTTTTGTGACCAGGACAGTGATATTTTGAAATTTACCTATTTTCAATGAGAAAACGGGCGAATTTGTGTTTTATCGTTCACATAAAGTCATTAAAAAAAACATGAATTAAAATAACATGTATTTAATATATTAAAACCCATAAGAGTTTCGGAGTGAGACATAACCCTTTCGAAATTGGAGCACTCTCAAAATGATTCATATGAATTATTTCTTCTTGTTATCCCATCGTGGCCCATTCCCATCGAACAGACTTCAAAGCAAGTGCCAAATGCATTCCCTTGCCTCAATGAGGCTCTCTCTGATCGCCAAGACACGGGTTTCTCAAGAACTGGCCTCGCTCCTTAGGACCGTGCGATTATTTTCCACGCGCGTTGGCATCTATCGGCACACTCGCTTCATTGTTTTTGCGCTGTTTTCATTATTTTTTATTTCCTCCCCCTCCCCCCCCGTCATTATCAACTTTTTTCCTGCCATCACTTTCAAGTACCCAGCACTGCTGCGCCCTGATAAAGCAGGCCAAACAGCGTGACGTGGCCGATTTTCAGATTCCCATACCGCCTCCACTGCCGTGGGACGATCATCATAACAGCCGTACAGAGCAGTGGTTCTTCTTAACCTGGGGTTGCACGCACTCCCCGGGGGTGCGAGATGCCCTTTCTGGGGGTGCGAGACATGGCCAGATTTATTTTTTGAAGGTAAATCATCGACACACAAGTTAAGCACGAGGCACCTAAGTACAACTACTTCGTTTCATCAAACCCCGATGTATTTATTGACATACATTATTTAAACGATTGTGAACCAAAGGGGTGCATGGCTGCGGCAAAGGTTAAGAACCGCTGCCATTGTTTTTAAAGCACACGGCTATCACGCCAAGGTCCCAACAAGGCGGGGAGGGGCGACGTTGCTTTGCAGAATCGCGAGTTATTTTCCGGTAAGAATTCAATTTTGCACCCAATGGCCTTCTCCCTATTCGCATTCACTCTTTATTGTTTTAAACGTCCGCTTGCGAAGGAGGGCGGCGCGTGGCACCTCACGGTCAAGACGCCGGCGGCAATAACCCGGACGGCACTGCCGGGGAGACTCTGCCGACCTGGGGAAGGGGCTCCGGGGAAGCGAGCAGAACGTTCTCGGGCTTGAGGTCGCAGTGGACGATGTTCTTGAAGTGCAGGTGACGCAGCGCGATGAGGATCTGTGAAGGCGATGCGAGGAGAGCGAAAGAAGTTAGCCGACAATGTGCCTCCTTCGCATATCTGTCCCCACCGCGTAAAACAACAAAAAAAACGCAAGTTATTTTTGACAGATCTCGTCAGCCGCATGGCCGTCTGTAAGCGTGTCATTTCGGCAGCAACTGCTGGTGAGCAGCATGTGGTTTTGCAACTGGAAGCCACGGTTCACGCAAAGTTGGCTACGGTAAACGGCACGTATTTATGACCAGATCAGAGCCCATTGAGACCAGGAGTCACTTTTTCAAGGGAAATTTTTGTATCCATAATTACAGCAAGAGGTTATAGATTTACACATAGACACAAAACCTTACATCGAGACCCAGAAACTAACATTGACTTACATACAGACCCAGAAATGTGTGGCACAGAGAGCCACATAGACTTTATTAGAAACCCATAGACTTACACAGAGACCAACACAATTTGTGTGGAGACTTACAAATACTGAAGCAGACATCAACTGGGACATTGAGATGTAAGGCTATGTATACATATATCCTCGTGTAGAAACTCAAAGACTTATACAGTAACCTATAGACTTCTATGGAGACCCATATAACTACAGACCCATCGAGTCATGTAAGTAGATGACTTGGAGATGAGTACTGCCCCATGCATATTTTAGCCCCAAGATACTTTGACTTGGAATCTGAATTGCAATCGGCTGCTCAACCCGAGAAAAAACTTGCACAGGTGGCCACCACGCATCCCGGGTTGTGGGCAGTACACGGCAGTGCAGTACAACCCACTGTTGTTAATCAATGTCCCCTGCCTTTGCCAATTCACACTGACCAGCGTGGTGCGGTATGGCCAAATACCCTTCACAATCCGCATGACGTAGGTAGACCCTTATCCAGCAGTGGATTGGTGGCAAGCTGTAGATGCACATAACGTAGTATCGTGTAGCATTCGCGCCGCTCTTACAGCAAGGCAAGGCCATCATGAGGGCGCTGTGTTTTACAGACACGGTCTGCAGTCGTTTCAAGAGTGGTGAGCGAGATCGCTCCACGTGATACCACATGAGTAAATTTTTTTTCAGTTGGCTAAATTTGGACCACGATGCTGGCGGGCAATGGCCTACGCATGTCTGGATCTTTTAACGTCCCACCGTGAGGCAGATGGCACGTACATTATTATTAATGCGCCCGCAGGGTTAACCAGGGCGGCCTGCCGGATTCGAACCGCGAACCTCTGCAACCAAGTGCCACAAATGTGCCACGACACCACCGCCCCATGCCAGCGATGTACCAAGTCATGAATTCATGCTATATTTTGTTTGACAGCCCATTGTACATAGTTTGGAGGAGATTTGAGTGCGTTGCATATCAGGGCTAAACCCCCGTTGCGTTGTCAAGATAAGGAAAGGGAGTTTCTTTCTATCGTTCGGCTTTTTGACAATTGCAGTTTTACAGAGACAATGAGAATAATGTCGTTATCTTCTGCTTCAAAACGATGACGCAAGTAGGGTACGGGCATCTCTTATCGACTCACTTCAAAAGATATTCACGAACCGACACACAGACACAACGCAACAAAACAATACTTCATACAAGTTTCACTGGTCATGGGGCCTGCATTTTAAGTTTAATAAAAATGATTTTGGCTGGGTAGCTCAGAGGTCAGAGCGCTGAGCTGGCACCGCTGAGTTTCTCAAATCCAAGCAGCTGCCTGTGATTAAGCCAGGTTTGTGAGTTAATGGTCTCAGCCGAGGTCATTCATGACTGCGCACACATTTCACGAATGAACGCACGCATGCAAATTCCAAAAACGACAAACGCGTAAATATATAAATGTGCCGTTAAACCCGCCAGCAACCGACACAGCCAATTAGTAAGGTTTGTCACGTAAACAGAACATACCAGTACAGCACACCGGTGTGTTGGAGAGCAAATCCACAACATTTACCAATCCGCAACATTGGTTGCGAAAGCCTACGTGTTAAACTGGTGGGAAAGTGCTGCCATCTGCTGTGCAAAGCAGAGGTCGCTTGAACGGATCTCAAGAGGTAGCTCCTTGGCATCCGCTTCTGTGGGCCGTTCTCTAACACGGAGGGTTGCACTGTACTGTGAGTGATCCGAACTGATTCTTCAAGTAACGATGGCAACAGCGCAACATTGGGGAAGACGACAACAATCAAATATTTTTTTAATTGAATATCGAATCGCGTCCCTGAATTGTGACAATCAAAAAAGGTGTTGATCTGTACACTTGAACTGCGTGTTCTGGACATGTACAGCGACTCAAGCCAGATAATTAAAATGAAGAGGTCGCAGTGGTGGTGGTGGCGATGATAATGATATCGCAGTGACGGTGATGCCGTTGGAACCTGCGTGATGAGGAACTTGGTGATGTGCTCGGGCAGGCGGCCGCGCTCGGAGGACAGGATCATCTCGAGCATGTCCCCGTGGAGCTTCTCCATGACCACGAACACGCGCTCGGGCGTCTCGAACATGCAGTCCAGGTTCACCACCCCCGGGTGGTGCAGGTTCTAGGGGGGTGGGGGAGGGTGTGGGGGGGGACGGGGGCATTTAAATTCAACGTCGATTTATGTTTGCAAATATATCTTCGATTCCTCGTTTCATACACAGTTGTTGTTGTTGTTTTTGTTCTGATTTCTACGTCATTGCCGTACTGCTTTATTTTACTCGTTTTGCTTTCGTCATTTTAGTGACCCAGGGCACTTGCAAACGAAGCTATCCTGGTCGCAGCAAACATCACGGCGCTACCCGCTAGAGCGGCGTGGCATACGCCCTGGGGTGCAAGAAGCGCACCGGGGCACCCCCTACCCAACATCGCATCCATTTTTTCTGCCTCGCCACCCCCGGCACGTGGGGCCCGGTGCAGTTGCACCGCCTGCGCACTGGACAGTCACGCCGCTGGCGCCACCCGCACCCCGCGCCACTGGCAAGCGCGTGCTCGCGTGCTCGCGTGCACGCACCTGAAGGATGGAGACCTCGTTGCGGAGCTGGCTTTCCTGCTTGGTGGGAAACTTCTGCTTATCGATCACTTTTATTGCCGCGTCACGCCCCGTCTGCCTGTGCTTCCCTGCGGTGGGGGAAAGAGAAGGGGGACGCTGTCACGGCGAGCCCATCACTCCGAGGTCATCGCGGTCGCCTCTGGAGTTTGAGCAACTTCCCAACGACCGCTCGCTAAAACGATGCCGAGGGTTTTCGTCTCCCGCCTGAGACGCCTGCGAGATTTTTGTTAAAATATATTTTACTTTTTTTATTTCGCGAATGTCAGTTAGCGAGCTGCCACGCTGACGGAGCTGTCACGCTGCCAGCGCTAATCCTCGAGCACTATTTTGACAAATTTTGCGGTGAACGTGTGACAGCCCTACCCCCGAAGACGATTCCAAATTGGCCCGAGCCCAGCACCTCGTCTGGGAATATTTGGTAGACCGTGCTGATGTCCTGCGGAGGATGTAAAAAAAAAAGTCATATTAAAACGCTTGAATTAAAAGTGAATAAAATAAATGCGTGTTTGGTATTAATGTGAAGGACGTTTGTATGTTGGTAATATGCATTGTTTGCTGGAACTATAACCTCTGTGGTGATATTGCCGTTCGTGCATCATGGCTTATAGTTTTGGCAGTGACGCGGCCCGGCGGTAGTGCGTTGCGGAGGTTCGCGGTTCGAGTCCACCGGCCGCCCCGGTTATTACTACGGTGTGTAGCAACCATAAGTCACACTACGCGCCGCCTGCCACACAGTGGACGTTACAGATCCCCTGACGCCGTTCGCAAGAGTCGCCCATTGCGTGCCGGCGTCAACGTCCACGTTGAAAAATAATGAATTCTACACCGCAAAGAAGTTACTCAATTGGGATTCTACGCAGGAATCGTTGCGTACTACTGGCAGTACTAAATACCTCAGGTTACTCTTGCCAATGAGACTATTCCGGTCTCTAAACTTGAAAGAACTTACCACATTTTCCTGGACTTGGCAGCAGGAAATACTGACAGAAACTTCTTCTGTAAATTACACGGCAAAACAACAACAACTAATCAATTCCAGTTCGTAGAATGAAGTCCATTAAAACTGGACAGGTAGATGGTGACCAGCGCCTGCAGACAGGTGGGCAGATTTGGCATTCAAAATAAGCCAAAGTAACTCCCGTGTTGAACTTCTTTCGCACCGTACATAGCAAAGCGTACTAATCGGAGGTGCAGGGGAAGGATAACAAACTACACACAATAAGCAGTTCTAAATAAATGAGTTTTCAATCTAGGTGATCTAAAAGTGCGTAGCTCCAGCGGTTTCTGAATATCAGAATGGAGAGTGTTCCAGACGGCCACAGAAGGGCATCTGAAAGTGCGCGATGCAGTCACCATCTTTGTTCGATGGCGAGCCAAAAGCCGCCGCTGCTGCTGCGAGGATGACCGGAGTTCACGTGATGATGGTTTATGATCATTGACAAGATCAGCGAGGTATTGTCGTTCACCTTTGGCGAGCACTTTGTTGTGATATTAAGTCACAGGGGCCACGCGCAGCCCCGAGGACCGCAGGTTCCCCTCGCCCGGCGTACGGAGCACTCACTGTGCTGGTTCTGTCCGGAGCCCGAGTTGACGGAGCCCTGCAGGGTGACAGGCATCAGCGCCTGCCTGATGGCGAGCTCCCACTCCCGCGCCACCTCCGCGCTGCTCCCACCGCCGCTGCCACCGCCACCAAAGCCACCGCCGCCCGTGCCGGAGAGATCCAGAGGCATAAGCGTCACCGCGCCACCGTCCACGGCCTCCCCCACGTGGTACGTCACGTGCGCCGTGACCAGCTCGAAGCAGTGCGGGCCGCAGTCAGAAGCGGGGGCGTCCTGGGCCTGGGACTGACGGGGCTCTACCGCCAGGATCTCCGACAGGGGGATCTCCTGCGGTTACAGAAACAACAAATTTGGTCACCTGGGCTGAACACTGACTACGCCTGATTTCATATTTTTTTTTTACCAGGTAAGGCCCACTGAGCTATGTAGCTCTTTTTCAGAAGCGACGTGGCCACAAATAATAGCTCAACGAAGTGGGTTGTCACGTGGAAATTTACAGCAGCCAAATAAGCCAAACGCGTGTTTATTCTAAATGTGGAGAGAAACACCAGAGGGCCCGGTGAAAAATCCATGCTACCACGGGGCGAACATGCAAACTCCAAAATATGCACGCGTCAGCATCGGGATCGAACCCATGACCTCCTGCATATCAGATGAGGGCGTTAACATCTCGCCACCATCACGTGGCAAAAGGTTCAGTGGGGGTTCCATGTGGCTAGTGCTTGGATAGGTCACCATCGTGCATTGCAGGATGTTTAAGGCTGTGGGGCTATGATAACGACAGTTTATCTAAATTCATTGTTGTACTGTCCGTCTGTGCTCCCGTGTATATATGAATTCCCGGCAATTGTCAACCTGCGCTGACAAGCGTGGTTGAAGTATGGTCGACAAAAACAAAGAGGCGCACACGTACCCGCGACCGGCTCAAGCGGTCTGACACAACACTGACGTGAACGTGAAGAATCACGAGGGTCATCATTCACCGTCCCCTTTCCCAGCATTGCCTGTGGTCTCGTGGTCACCTTGTAATACTTGCTCCCGGTGTCCGACTGGAAGAGGGTGATGCACTTGCTATCGAGCCTCCAGAAGTGGCGTTTGCGCTGAAAGAAAAAACAATCGCCAACATCGGCATGACTTGGGGCCACACAGCGCTCGCTCGCTCGCTGGGACATTCCACGGACGCGATCCGAGCCCGTGGAATTCTCGCAGGCGCGGACGGATGGCGAGAAGGAGTTGTTGCATTGCGTGGCTGTCGAGGTGCATGCGTACGCAAAGCAGTGGTGCAAGTTTGAATGCGCGACACAATTGAGGGACCGTGCGTTGCCTTGGTGTGGTCTGGGACTGTTGTTGTTGTCATTGTTGTTTTCCTGCTTGTGCAATTTGTACTTCTATACTTTATGTGTATTTATTTACGTATTTATTTGGAGCGACCTGCTTACCTTTTCTCTATCGTGCACTCATACCCCCTTTTGTATAGTTTTCTGGTGCAAATTCGCTGACCCAACCCTACTGGACATCCGTGAAAAAGAGCTTCATAGCTCATCGGATTCTTCCAGGAATAAAAAAATAAAGACTGATTATCGAGCGTGCAGACGGTGCAACTGCACTGCCAGAGGACCCCCAGGCGCCGAGCTACGCAGAGTTGGTACCATGCCAAACGCACGAGGCCACTGCTGCAAGATTAGTGAGACACACACACACAAACAAAGACAAACATCCCCCGTATAACCTTAACAGACTGTTGGAGCAAGTGCTCTTTGCCAGCACCTATGAAGGCCAGCACGGCACATGAGGGGGTGGGTGGCCAACGCCACGCCCGACCGCCTTTGTTTCCCAAGTGGGGATGTTTCCACACCGCACCACGTACTCATTGTGAGGCTGAGTCGACCTAGGGGAGGCCCATGACCGGTTCAGATGACTATCGTCACCGGTGTTGGCCGTGAGCGGGAATCAAAACCCGGGTCGCCAGCTTCGTAGCGCAGCGGAGTGCTAACCGCAACACTAACACAAAGATCCCCCATATAGCCTTAACAGACTGTAGGGGCAAGTGCTGTTAGCAAGCACCTATGAAGGCCGGAACGGTACACGAGGGGGTGGGTGGCCAGCACCACGCCCGACCGCCTTTGTCTCCCTAGTGGCAATGTTTACACACCGCACCAGGTACTCATTTGAGGCTGAGTCGACCTAGGGGAGGCCCGGGACCGGTCCAGATAATCGTCACTGGTGTTGGCCGTGAGCGGGAATCGAACCCAGGTCGCCAGGTTCATAGCGCATCGTGCTAACCACTACACTATCGCTCCCCACCAACACTAACACACACACACGTACACGTACACACACACGTACACACCAGGGTGTCCTTGCTGGTGAAGTGGACCATCCAGCCCTCCTTGAGCACGCTGCTCCCCCGGCGCTTGGCGTGCTTAACGGACTGCACCACCCGCATCAGCGGGATGTTGTTGCTGGGCGAGGGGCTGCGTCGCAAGCGGGGGGGGGGGGACCACTCGCTCATTCGTTCACTCGTCTACTCGTTCGGCACGACAGCAGCGCTTTCCTCCCTTCCGTCCTTCTCCAACCCCCGCTCATTTGTGTGGATTGAGTGCGGAATAAGCATTTACATCGCCAAAGCAATAATAATAGATGTACATATTTATATAATAAATACATTATTATTATTATACTATAATAAAGGGCCGTGAGTCCAAAATCCCTCTGCATTCGGGAGTCAGAAACACTGAGCCTGCACTGCTGAGAGCCTGGGTTCGATTCCAGTTCACAAACGCCCGAGATTAAACCGGATTCTCAAGCTGAAGGTCTCAACATGGCCATCAAGGATGCCCATCATGCATGACGTGATTTTCATTTGTATGAGGTTAATACTAATGTGCATCCCTTTGTCCAGCTACTTTTGAATGAAGGCCTCCCTACACCATACGAGACATGGGATTTGTAGACCATACTTCACCACACTGGTCAGTACGGGTTGGTGAAAGCCGGTGGCATAATAATTCAGTTTTATATAGCGCGTCATTCATGCAATTGCATATCCCGACACTATACAACAATTACATACATAATCGCATTTAGGACTAAATCATATTCACAGCAGTCATAGACGTGGGAATAGAGACATGGCTGGAAATGGGAAAAAATGACTAGGGGTCTCTGTGCTTGTCTGTGGGTCTTTTTTGTTAGTCGGTGGGTCTATCTGTAACTCAAATAAATAAATAAAATATGAATCCTTGAATCCTTCCGGAACACAGTCGGGTTCAAATTTATACTCCCACCACGGCGTTCCAGGGCGTTCCGACCCATTGCCACCGCTCGACATAGAGGTACAGTACAACAATGGATTGTGCTGCAATGCCATCGACTGGCCACGACAAAGCCCCGCTGCATTGGTCGCCTGTACAAGGAGCGTCCCAGGCGCAACCCAGCTTGGCATCCGCGACCTGACGCGATTGGGGAGCGTCCCGTGTGATGCGTCCAGGGACCTCGCGTCAACGCACACGACGCACTCGCTTGGACGAGGCAGGCGTCTCTCTGTCTCTCTCTCTGTCTCTCTCTCTGTCTCTCTATGTCTGTCTGTCTGTCTGTCTCTCTGTCTCTCTCTCTGTATGTCTGTCTCTCTCTCTGTCTCTCTCTCTCTCGTTGTCTCTCTCTTTGTTTCTCTCTCTGCCTTTCTGTCTCTCGCTCTCTGTCTGTCTCTCTCTGTCTCTCTCGTCTCTCTCTCTTTGTATCTCTGTCTGTCTCTCTCTCTCTCTCAGCCTCTCTCGCTCTCTGTCTATCTGTCTCTCTCGTTGTCTCTCTCTTTGTCTCTCTCTATCTCTGTCTTTCTCTCTCTGCCTCTCTGTCTTTCTCTGTCTCTCTCTCTGCCTTTCTGTCTCTCTGTCTCTGCCCCTCTCTCTCTGTCGCTCTCTGTCTCTCTGCCCCTCTGTCTCTGTCTCTCCGTGTCTCTCTCTGTCTCTCTGCCCCTCTGTCTCTCCGTGTCTCTCTCTGTCTCTCTGCCCCTCTGTCTCTCCGTGTCTCTCTCTGTCTCTCTGCCCCTCTGTCTCTCCGTGTCTCTCTCTGTCTCTCTGCCCCTCTGTCTCTCCGTGTCTCTCTCTGTCTCTCTGCCCTTCTGTCTCTGTCTCTCCGTGTCTCTCTCTCTGTCTCTATGTCCCTCTGTGTCTTTCTCTCTCTGTCTCTCCCGTGCCGCCTCAAGGCAGTTTGGGGGCCGATGCGGCGACAGCGTCCGTCACCTGATGGCTCGGCTCCGTTCCGCGTCCAAGCCTCGCTCCGTCTTCTGCGACCTCTCCTCGAGCGACAATGGCCGCTCCTCGAAGTCGTCCACCGGGGAGCCGTGCGTCTGCTCGCCCTCGCTCTCGTAGCCCAGCTCCTCCATGGCGGCGTCCGCGTCGCTCGCGGGGCTTGGAGGCTCTGCGGACGACGCGACGGGTTCAACTCCGGGCCGAGTTTCATTATTTGACCGGCTGAGAGCCCGGCAGAGGAAGGGTACGGTAGTCTCGTTCGCAAGGGTTACTTCGGTTTGCAAGAGTGTGCTCCCCGCATTGTATTTGCAATGGGCGCTGAATCGTAGGGGTTCCAGTATATTCAATGTTTTTTGCCAAATTGCTCTCCCCATTTCTATTACAATTGTACGGCGGCTTTCTGAATCCAAGCTTCGGGCTTTAATTTGAAAGAAGGTCAGTGTTGGATTAATGATTTCACTCATAAATTTTGACGTGCCAAATTGGAACTAAGAGATATTTTGATGACATTAAAACTGAATGATGTTCGCTTTGTTTGCCTTGGTCCAACCCTTTGCCTTTGCTACTTCCCAACTGTGCAATCGGCATCATTTCAAGATGTGGAGTTTCCATTCTCTCACAGAGCAGTGCATCACGCCATGCTAAAGATTGGCCTGCGGAAGGAGATATCACAGAACTACTTTAGAGATTCCCTTCGAGGGCACTTACCCACGCACTCTGCCGCGGAGACGTCCGTCGCATGGAAGTCAAACTGGAATTTTATCATTTCATTTTCGGACCTAGAATTTTGGCCAAAATTAAGTACAAATCCTAATTTCATTGGTCGGTTTTGTTGCCTGCGCTCATTGGTGAGTGGGCTGAGTTCAGCATTTCATTCCACATGGGAACCCAGTTTAATCATGGGTGATTGAATCCCAGATTCAAACCCAGATTCTCAGCGGTCACGACTCAACGTTCTGTCCCGACATCTTCACAGTTTGTCTTAATGGCTCGGAGGGATATAAAATATTTTTTTGCACTTATGCGTGTTTGAGTTATTGCTCTTTAGTGCCTGCACGCTGTCAAAGAGTCTGCATTCTGAGTTCATGGAAACACGACATGCAGACCATGACCATAACAAAGAGGTAGCCATAGCAGTTTTTTTTTTTTAAAGCTGGGCTATTGCCACGAAGTTGCTCTCTCCCCTCTCTCCCATATTTCCCAGCCCTGACAACCCTCCCTTCGAGTCTAATATACTTGCCCTTCAATTTGAAGCACCTTCGACTAGCACGGTTGGTTACGTACGGTGCAAGAGAAATCCACATTCACACTTTCATACACATGTAAAGCGTCTTGAGATGCGATTGCATTTTGGAAGGGCGTCCACTAAAGGGGGATATTTTTTGGCCAACTCTTCCACACGGGCGAGACACCTGTGAAGAGGTGGGAGTACCCGCACGAAGGCGCGCGCTCACATTAGTGCTCGCCAACAGCACTTGCAGTCTGTTAAGGCTATACGAAGGGGATCTTGGTATTTGGACCCGCACCTAACCCCACCACACACGGCGTGAGGTGTACCGGTTTATACGGCTGGATGGACAGAGGCGGCGGGGGGGGGGGAGGGGGAGATTTCAGAAATTTTCACCGTCGTTGCAATCGAAGCGCCGAATGATCGAATCGCACCGGTGACCTCTGGATTGCACGTCTGGTGTGCGAACCATTGCACCACGGAAGCCTTCCTTACGGACACACTCTATACATGCAAATTGTTGTTGTTGCTGTTTGTGTCAACATTTGGAAGCGTCTGTCGAAATGAAAGCAAACGGCTGTGTGTGTGAGTGTGAGTGCTTACCATCACAGAGGGGGACCTCTCCCAGGCAGTTCTTTGGAACCTTTGTTGAGCATCGCTTGTGGCAGTTAAACTTGCAGTCTGGAGGGCACAGGCTCAGGTCAGGGAGACTGTGGGCAGTGCCGTCCCACGTGTACATCCGATAGCAGCACACTGCAAGCGATTGCCAGTGCTCTCTGCCAAAGAATAACAACATCTGAATGCGAAGTTAATTGAATACGACAACAAAACACGTGCACGCACAACCGTACAGAATGGGCAGCATTTTTAAAAAAATTCGGAGCAGTTCTATTCGCTCATGGAGGCCAATAAATATAATATGGAACACAGCAAAAAAAAACACATGACGGAGCATGTCCAAGAGAGCGGCACGTCCGTCAGGGAGATGGAGCGATGAAATAATCTCGTGCGCAGGCACCGGGCGGCTCATTACATCACAGGCGGGATCGAGAGAGATGGCGGTGGCAGTTTGTGCAGTAGGCCTTCTTCCTTCATCCAGCAGTGGATCGACCGTGGCCAAGCCTGACGCCGATGGCGGCGATGCTCTGCCGCCCTGTGCGGGCGTTTGGGTACCGCACCTTTGCACTGCAGGCCCTGGCGGAAGAGTCCGCGAAGCAGCCGCTTGCAGTGCTGGCAGGACGTGGGCCGCTTGTACGACTGCACCACGAAAGTGTGCGGCACCTTCACCTTGCCCGGCCCTCCCGGAACGCGCTTGAACGGAGGGAACTCCGCTTCTGTGGGGCTCCTCTGCAAGGAGACGCCGAATCGAGCGGAGAGATCGCACCAGGGTGACTCCGGCGCCAGGCTCGGGCGAGCCGTGCGTCGGCGGCTCCTCTACTTAGAGAACTAGAGAACTACTTGTAAATTATCGTGAGATGCTGGACATCCGTGAAAAAGAGCTTCATAGCTCATCGGATTTCTCCAATCTAAATAAAGATTCAGATTCTGCTACTTCTAGACGTCCTTAAATTGGCCTCTTCTCCACAATTGTGGTGGTGCACAAGTTTACATGCCCTGAAACTGAGCGGCCGTCTTACGATTAAGTTTTTGAGGTGATTTGAGAAGTAAGGATCTTGTTGAAAATGCACGTAAAGTTTTACTTTGTTACAGCAAAATTATAGTGGGGCTTCATATTTGAAATGTGAATCAAAATTGCTCATACGTGGGAATTCTTATTAATTCCTGGGTTTACTAATATCCGGTGATGGAGAACTGAATGTCAGTAGCTCCAGTGATTATTGAATCAACATCTTGGATCAATTTTTTTTACAATTGCAGCAGCGCCGTAAGCCGAACTCAACAGCAAAAAGTAACGGACCCCGGGTTCTGTTTGAACGGTCACGTGCGTGTGTGCGTGTGCATGCGATCGCCGGCACAACCGAAGTGTCACGCACGCGACCCGCATCTCACCGGCACCAGCTCCTCGGGATTGCTGACGGACACGGTCGACAGCCGCCGCTTCCGCACGCCAGAGCAGTTGTTGGGGATCCTGAAGGCGCAGCGCTTGTGGTAGTCGAGGCCACAGCCTACGAGAGGGGTGGGAGGCAGTACCCGGCAGCATGCAGCATATCATCCACCCAGCCACCCAGCCAGCCACCCAGCCACCTACCCACCCAGCCACCTAGCCAGCCACCCAGCCAGCTACCCACCCAGCCACCTCACCAGCCAGCCACCCACCCATCCAGCCAACCAACCATCGATCCACCTAGCCAGCCACCCATCCACCCACCTGCCCAGCCACCCAGCAACCCACCCAGTCACCCAGCCATCCACCCACCCGCCCAGCCACCTATCCAGCCACCCAGCCATCCACCCAGCCACCCAGGCACCCAACTATCCAGCCGCCCACTCAGCCATCCACTCAAGCACACCCACCGACCCAAATCACAGTGCGATGCTAAGCTGTCGATTCTTTATAACTTCACTTGCAGTTGACATATATGCGAGCCCGCTTACATATTACAATTTTATAACATGTTTACTTCAATACCAATATAAATTTTAAGTAAATAAACCGTATATGTGACCATGTGGCTTTTTAAACTATATTAATCGATTTTGAGCAGATGGTTGTGGCAGCATCTGAAGCAGCATTTTCATTTCAATGAGGAAACAGAAATAAATAAGTGATGTCATTACCCCTTAATCAATACCCTCAATATGACGTCTGATGGAAAAAGAAACACAACACCGTGAAAACAAGCCATAATCAAGATTTAGAGACGTGTTTTGCCTATCTAATTGACACATTTGGTTGTGAGAACAGTTATTCCACTCACTGGTGAGCTCAAGATATGATATTGGTAGGAACCTCCTGGTTACACCACCAGCCCACAGGGGATTATTGTGTCCGTCCGTCGTGCATCCAAAAATGGGAGGGGTGGGGCTGGGTGGAGAGGGGAGGGTGGGGAGGGGAAGGGTGGCAGGGTGGGGAGGGGCTGGGTGGGGAGGGGCTGGGTGGGGAGGGTGGGGCTGGGTGGGGGGTGGGAGGGGTGGGGCTGGGTGGGGAGGGGCTGGTCACCCCGTGGTGCCCTTAGAAAACTCAACGTGTAACCTACTCACGCCGGCTTGTGCCCGCCCTCAGTCGGGCATATTTGCGGAATACACCACGTGGTGCCGCCGTTGACCCTGGCCATTGACCGAGCAACCCAACGTTCCTACCAGCTCCCTCCGCAGGAATGTGTTTAATTGCACGTTAAACGCTTTCATTTGTTGGGCTTCGCGGTCTATCACGTGGTCACTTATCCACGTGATAGATGACTTGATAAACGCCGTATATGATCTGGATTGACGATTTGACCATTTACAAGTCCGAAACGTTGATCGGAACAGCACCCATAGCATTAAAATGCATTGTGAAGGGCACTGGTGATCTCTGACCGGAGCTTAACTTCGGCTGGGTTCTGTTCGAGTTTGTGACCCCTTAAAAGAATTCCACATTCCGGCACACCACGTCCAGTATACATATCGCTATGGCTCTGGCTATTCGTCAGATGCCTATATATTCCAGTCGACAAGTGGCCCAATGTTTTTTTGTACCCAGCACACCACATCCAGTATACCTCACACGATGGCTCTGCGTACTGGGTCACATGCTACCTACCCTAAGTCTACCTGCATTTGTGGCTTATTCCCTGTGGAGCTTCCAAACCTCGTTGGCGTGTCCACGAAGAGACAGCGTGCCCATATGATGAGTTTTCAATCTACACCTCAGCGCCCACCTTTCAAACCGTTTTAGTTTCACCAGGTAAAGCCCGACAAGAGCTGTGAGTTTAATTTTCAGCAGGTGACCTGGCCGCACATGATACCCCATCGACGTCGCTTATCATCGGAACATGATCATTCATACAAGCGGCCAAATAATCTGAACGCACCGTTTCCAAACGTGGAGCGGGGGCAAAGGGCTCGGAGCAAAGTGGACATGGCAGTTACCAGCGTGGGAATCAAACCCACGACCTCCTTCTTACTGGGCAAGCGAGGTAACATCTCCTTCATCCGAGTTTAATTTCACTTTGGCTAAACCGAAACACTTTTAATACTGCGCAGATTACAGTATACTGATTTGAAAACTTCACGTACACGAGATTTGACACAATTTACCAAATGTGATATATGTATAACTAGCGGGAAGCACCCGGCGTTGCCCGGGGGAAAATAGATATTTTAAAACGTATCAAAACTTAAAAACATAGCATATATTCTTGGTTCTTTCGGTAAAGTCACGTAGAAGGGAATCAATAAAATTATCACGACCTTTTGACTGCAATACAAGCAATCATCATCAGGTGTGAAAACCACAACAAGAAAATTTTCAAATTTGAAAAATGTATATTTTAATTATTTTGATTCCCTTCTACGTGACTTTACCGAAAGAACCAATAATATGAATCCCTGCAGTCACGAAAGCTTTAAATCAAAACATAACAAATGAAAATAAAACTTTGATCATTACCTCATTAATTAAAATAAAACCCAACGCGCGGTGGAAAAAAAACGCATGCTCGCGCGCCAAAATTCGATTCTTTAAATCGCGCAAAGGAATCGAAAATTGTAGATTTATTTAGGATTCGCCTATTCCCGTTTAATCGATACCACAATGGCTCACCATATATCGATTCTCTGGTCCTGTATGCGGGTTGACGCCACGCAATTCATGGTCATCCCCCCCCAAATACAAAAGTTAATTTTTATACGTTTAACATTGTGTACAGTATGGGAGCTAGCCACATGGCAAATTAAAATGTGTAACCTATTTCCCCCCCCCCCCACCAGCCGGCCTACGCGGAGGGTTTTGGGGGGTGTGTGTGACGTCAGCAGGCACATTGCGTCTCGCTGCCCCATGCGGGTGACATGACAGAAATGTGACGTCACAGCTCACTTGCCATGCTAAATAAATGCATTAATGCGCCCCCCCAAAAAACAAATATACAAAAGTCTATTTTTATAATATTTGCATGGTGTACAGTCTGTAAAGTACCCACATGGCAAATTTCAAGTTTGTTGCATGTCGGGAAGTACGCTAAAACATTTTGAACAGACACATTCACAAATTTCCATTTTTTTCTACACATATATACATTGATTGATGATATAGACATGACCACAGTGACTAATCGATCGGCCCGGCAAACGTCGAGCGAGAGAATGAATTCATCCCTCCGACCTTCGCACTTGAGCCCCTGCCGCACGAGGCCCCAGAGCATCTCCCCGCAGTAGTCGCAGAACGCGGGGGACTTGTACGAGTGCACGAAGAGCGCGTGTGGACGGATCTGGAAATCCTCGAATGTCGCCGACGCTTTGGCGTAGCGACGGCAAAAAGAAAGAGAGAGAGAGAGACAGAGAGACAGGGAAAAAAAACACCACCATTGACTTGATCCTTCATTCATCAACGTCGTCACCAGACGCATCACTTTGTCAGGGCTGTTCACCAAGCGATACGTATTACGGCGCAAATCCTTTAATCGCGTTTGGTGCGAGGGGTTCACGAGGGGTGGGACGTATAATCTGTCTTCATTCACGCAAACTCTTCCTCATATCTGTCTTGATACAGGGCCAATTGCTGTTGAATTTTAATTATATTTGAAAGTTATTGTGCATTCTTTTATTTTATATATGGTCCTGATGTAAAATGCATCTATTTATTACTAAATTGTGCAATTCTCCCCGTTCTCTCAACATTAAAATATTGTCAAGATGAACCATTTCCTGTGACCGGTTTATTCGATTCGACGCCGGTTTAGTCTTATCGACTTGAGGTCACGATCTTCGATCTTGTGGTGTAATCCAGGTCTCCCTTGCATCGCATTTAAATGCGTGTCTTAACGAAGTACTTCCATCTCTGGGTGAAGTAAAGACCAGGAGTGGATAAACATGGATAACGGGATGCGGTTGCCACCCATTTGGGAATGGACGTTGACGTGGACAAGCAGTAGCGCATTTAACCACGTGTTGCAGAGGTTATTGGGGTGCCACGGTGGCGAGATGTTAACTACCTCGCCCGGTATACAGGAGGTCATGGGTTCGATCCCGACGCTGACACCTGCTGTAAATTTGGAGTTTGCTTGCCTCTCTCCCCGTGGTGGTCGTGTGACTTTTTCTCCAGCTCCTCCGGTTTTTCCCTCCACATTTAGAATCAACGTCAACGTGCTTTTAGAGTATTTGGCTGCTGTAAATTTCCACGTCATTAGCCACTTTCATTTGTGGCCCGGTCGCTTCTGAAAAAGAGCTACGTAGCAGTTCAGTGGGCCTTACCTGGTAAAATAAGAAAAGTGTACAGTTTTATATTCTTGGGTCTTTCGGTAAAGTCACGTAGATAGGTTCAAAGCAAATAATAAAAAATAACAGAAAACTACGACGTTTCGATCGCAACGCAAGCGGTCGTTTTCCTGAAGACGACCGTAAGACCCACAGAATATGAATTCCCGCAGTCGCGAAAGCTTTAGGTCAAGATTTTTACAGTTTTAGTTTTCTTATAACCAGAAAAATGCGTGTCGCGTGCTTCGCAGTGGATGTTCGCAAGAGTTGGTCATTGCGTGCCGGCGTCAAGGACCAGGTTTTTTGACAAAATAAAAATACTAATAATAACAGGAAAATTACTCAATTGGGAATTAGCATTGCAATCATTGAGCACCCACTGGCAGAGATTGTTGCCCCCAGTGACTCTTGCAAATGAGCGTGGTTAAACAAAATAAACGGAAGGTTCCAGGTCACAAATTTGAAATCGCACGAAGACTTTGGTAAAAGGATAGATTTTTACAAATGCGTTCTGCAAAGAATAGGATGAATTTACTGCTATTTTGGGAAATATATATTTTATTTATTTTCTATTTTTTGTGTGATTTGCATACCTTCCCTATACTTTGCACTCAAATCGTTTTTTGTATTGTCTGCTGCTTTGACTTTCTGACCCGCCCCTTACTGGACATTAGTGAAAAAGAGTTTCGTAGCTCATTGGATTCCTCCAGGACAATTTTTTTTCTTCAGAATTTGCCACCTCGACCGCTGCAGACGTTTTACATCCAGCGACGCGTACGCTTAAACGGGCTGCGCTCTTGAGCCGAGGTAATGACTGGGCCGCTTCTGTCTGACGAAGCCTTCGTTACTGGGCCGCGAAGGACAGCAGAGGCACAACGCTTTCCCATGATCAGCCTCTTCGGACCGTGACATTTACAGAACACAGACTCCTTTCAAATGTCCACGCAAGTGTCCCCCCTCCCTTTGCGCGCATTGCTCCAGCTCCCCTCCTCCCCCCCCCCCAAAAAAAAGATACGGCTCTTCGGTTGAAAAGACTGCGCGCGATAGAATGGTCTTTCTTTATTTCCAGACCTTTTAAATAAAGGGGTGCTTGTGCAGAGCCCAGACGGTAGTGCAACTATACGGCAAACGCAGCGCTCTTACTTATTCACGCGTTCGCTCATTCGCCCAGCGTGATACTGTTTCAGAGTGTAAGTTGTAACCATAGCAATCGGCCGAATGGGCCGCGGCACCGAGACTTGTGCTTTTGGTCGGTCTACCTTAATCACGGGCGCACAGTCAACGGATGGTGTGGCGTGCTCATTATAGCCGTTGGCGCCGTTCTGGGGACGCACGGCCGCTCGTGGCTCCCAGCGGCGCTGTGTTGAGGATTATTCATCGCGGCCAAGGGCTGTGCCCGTTGCGGTGATGAAAAATATTATTGTGGTCGTGACAAAAGACAGGGGCAACCGAAAGCCAGTGGTGTGGCGCGTGGTTGGCAAGGGCCATGGTGCTGGGAATGGAATTGGGCCCCCTCTACAATTTCCGCTCCATCTTCGTAGCCAGGTGCCTGGGCCCCCTCTGACCTGCTGGGTCCCATGGTGCAGGGCGTGCGCACTATTCAATTGCTACGCCACCGCCAATAACATAACAATGCCGTGATGGTTCTGGGCTTCAACACATCTGCCCCAAGTACACTTCCCTACACCTGAGGTTGAGAGCCACTTCTGGGACCGCCTTTGAAAAACACACTCTGAAATGTCATCAGAAGAACAAAGGCAGTGGTTCACATCACCGCAAGCACGCGTGGACATTCACGCAGAAGAGTGAGCTCAGCGATAGCAGGAAGAGCATTCTCAGTGCCCCTTCCCATGTGATTTCCTCATTTATGTCACCTGTAATGTCTCTGATTGTTGATGATCACAGGTTTGCCTGCGTATGTATGTATATATATATGTTAAAATTATTCCACACCGTATGTAGCCAACCGTGTGTGAGTGTGCGCTGTGTGTCGCTAGCTAGCGAACCAGGCGACCTGCTTTTGACTCCCAGCCATGGATAATATCAGCGGTGAGTCATGGTGGAACCATCCCTGGGCCTCCCTTATGTTGATTCAACCACAAATGAGTAACCCGGTGCAATGTGGAAAACGCCAGAACTGTTGAGACTAAGGCGATCTGGGCGTGGTAGTCGTCAACACCGCCTCCTGGTGTTCCGTGCCGGCCCTAACGCGTGCTCACAACAATCTGTTGAAAGTCAGCACGAGGCCCTCGCGGTACGGGTTGTTTTCCATCTGCTGTTTCCGTGCCGAGTCGGAACCAAACCGTGCACCTGGCTGGAGTCCAAGCAGGGCCAGGGGCGGGGCTAACGACGTGTTCACTGCACGCGACATCAGTCGGTACCCTGTGAGGAAGATGAACAACCCTGGCATTCCCGCGTCGTCTACGTGCGTCTCGACTCAGGTTATGTTTTATTTCACCAGGTAAGGCCCACTGAGCTATATAGCTTTTTTTCTGAAGTGACCTGGCCAGAAATGAAAGCTCGACGAAGTGGCTGGCTTATCACGTGGAAATGTATAGTAGCCGACCCGATTGACGTGGAGAAAAACCCACGTGACCACGGGGAGAGAGACACACAAACTGCAAATATACAGGCATGGTCACGGTCAGGATCGAACCCACGACCTCCTGCATACCAAGCAAGGTAGTTAACAGCTGGCCACCACGGCGCCCCTGATGTCAAGAGCAACGTAAAAACAACCCCCGACGCGTGCTAAGCCGTGCTGGGCTGGCTCGGCACGGCTCCCTTGCACGGCTCGGCAAACCGAGAGATATTTGCGCGTGCGTGCGTGCCCACGTGACGGCACCTGAGAGCACCACTTCGACGAGGTCTCCGGCTTGGATGCCATCGGCCGTTGCCAGCAGCTGCAGAACGTTGTCCGAATGCGGGTCGTGGCGGAAGAGAAGGATCTTGTCGTACATGCCGTAGAAGCCGCACTCGGGGAACTGCGGATGAGAGTTGCAAATAAACGGCCCACAAATCGAGGGTACGTAAACGACTGCGGAGGTGTTCGCACCGCTGTGCCGCGCAGCCCGCCGGCGAGCTGCTGTTGGACATTGTGCTTGACAACAACAACAACAAACATGCAGTGCAACCCAAACGCGCGCCGGACATCACGATGTATGGATGTGGAAGTTCTTTCCTACTGATAATTGTATGTGCGGGATATATACACGACATTAATGACGGATGTTTATCGCCTACATTTTTTTTTATTCCACGCGGGGAAACATTAGCTGATGTATTCAATCAACGGGACACTTTTCAGTTGGTCTCATTTAATTCTGAGCGTACATTGGTGTACAAAGTACATTAGTCTTGATATCTGCGGTCTTTTCAAAACACTTTCCAAGCCACAGTCCTGGCAGAATGTTTAGTAGCTGCACATTAATTGGTGTAAACACAAGTGATAATATTCACTTCAAATTCACCTTCTCGGCAACATGAGATTCCTGGCCATGGCTTACATCAGAGGGAAAGTGATATCTGAACCGGTCTTGTTCTACTCTACTTCTATGGTTTCATGTCCATGCTGCCCCCTATTCACCAATCCCCCTTCGGACTAAGGACAGGTGTGCTTATGTCCAAAGTGTGCTTGTATCAAAAGTTGCCTCTTTGCCTTCCACCCACCAGTGTAATGTGAGAGTATGATGCTAGATATCAAAGCTGCGCTTATATAATGCGTCCTTATATCCAGCCTCCGCTGCAACGTCACGCGGAACGACATCATATGAGGCAGTATGGAGGTGAGGCCTGTGCACCTTGTTGGCCGTTATGTAAGGGGGCCCCTGAATTAAATACGAAGGGCGATAGTGCACTCGCAGCCTCTTGGGGACAGATGAACTCCCAAAAAAAAACGATTTTCCATGCCGACGGTTGCTCCAAGATGACAGGTGAAACAGTGAGGCAAGCGATGTTGAGTTAAAACAAAAGGCACATTCAGCTCATCGTGAACAAGAACATCATGCAGTCAAGAACTCGCGACGCGCCAGAGCAGTTGTTAAAAAGTAACCTGAATTCAAAATATTGGTTCAGATTATTATCCACCGGGGAAAATTCTGCAGAGGGCACTGTATGTATGCCTGCTGAGTTTCTTTCACACCGTACGTAATCAACCGTGCTGATCGTACGTGCGCGGTGGGGGGGGGTACAACAAGCACCGAATACTTATCGAATTACTTCGTCACCCCACAAAGCCCATACTGAGTCTGGAGACTCTTTTTCAGGAGGGTCCTAAACATTGGGACGTTTGGCCCAATGCCTTTGACAACGTCCATTGTCAGCCATGGGAGGAAACCGGAGAAGACGGAGGAAGATCACGCGGAAGAGGGGGGTGTGGGGGGGACGACGTTACAATCGGCCACGAAGAAAGACGGCCGGGTCAGGGATCGAGTGTCACCACCGCGCCACCCTGCCAACCGGATGAATGGTACAATTGTTGTTGTAACGTGCTGACCTGCCCCGACTGGACATCTGTGAAAAAGAGCTTTAGCAGCTCATCGCATTCCTCCTGCAAGTGTAAATCAAGATTCTGATTCTGGCAAATTCTGCGCGAGTGTCCGCGGCGTGGCCCGGCCGATGCGTGTCTCCTGATGTTCGCGGAGCCCACGACGCGAAGCGGCGTTCGCATCCTCTGGGACAGCTGCACACTCAAGTGGAAAGACGCTTTTTTTGGACGGTGAGGTGCGGTGTGCACGTGCGGCAGATCCCGCACTGCTAAACCACCCTCACGCGAACAACTCCGGTCATCCTCGCAGCAGCAGCAGCAGCAGGCGGCTTTTGGCTGACCATCGAGCGAAGACGGTGGTCATTTGCGTCGTGCTGCGCTTTTAGTTGCGCTTCTGCGGCCGTCTGGAACGCTCTTCCCTTCCGATGTTAGTAAGGCACTGGAGGCTGTGCACTTTTAAATCATCTCGATTGAAAACTCGTTTCTTTAGAAGCTGCTTTTTGTGTTTCGTTTGTTGTCCTTTACCTGCACTTCTGATAAGCACGGTTGGCTACGTACGGTGCGAAACTAGTTCAACATACATAAATACAACATACATATATGCAACATGCATGCATGAAACATACATACATGAAACATACATACATGCAACATACGTACAACATATATACAGCATACATCCAGGTAATGTTGCTAGAAAAAAAAAACAAAAGCGAATAATTCACCTTAAAGAAAATAAATATGATGCCTCATTAACAACAACAACAACACAAGCAGTGCACATAAATGCATCTGGTTAAGAGATGGAGTGATGCTCGCGCGTCCGACGAGAGCCCTTCAGCAGCACCCCGAGGCTTCAACAAGCAAGTGGCCCAGGGCTCAATGCACTGGGACCTCTCCTCTGCCGTGGTCTGGAAATAACCTCTTGTTCAGTGTGCTTGTTACAGAGAGGAGCACACACAGCAGCAGGTAGGAGTAGTAGCAGTCGTGATAATAATAATAAAGTCAGTATTTATTCACCTGGGAAAGCCAACGAACCATTACATTTGATGTTCTTACACACCCAGAGGAAGCCCATTCAGTGCAGGGGGAGAACATACAGACTTCACGGCAGAAAGGTGCTCGATGTCAAGAAGCAAGTGTTACTACCAATGTGCCACCCTACCGCTCCAGATGAACACATACAAATAATAGTTGGCTGTATTCTCGGGATTACTAGACCCCCCCCACCACCCACCTCTGCCTGTTAAATAAAAAAAAGTTTTACGTGCATCTTATTATGCGGTCGGCATGCTTGCGCGAGTGATCAGATCTGTACAACTGCATTGACACGGCCGGGACACGTGTTTGGGGTGCGTTTTCATTTCAGGAGCCGTCTGTTATAATCCCGAGAACACGTTAACGGACTGATGATGAATAAATAAATAAGCAAAGATATACCCGCGCAAGAGATATAGCGCGGACGTGCGGAAAACCGGAATGAAATCCTCGACAAACTCACCCTCTGCTCAAAAAGGCTGCGTCGATTATTAAAGCACTACTTAACGCATCGGCTTTCGCCACCCATATTATCCATGATAGAGGTAAATGTTGTGGGTTTACTCTCCAACACACCGATGTGCTGAACTAGTAACTATTTGACACGTTTTGTTAACGTGACAATCCTTACTAATGTTGAACGACACATTTATATTTACGCGAGCTAACCCCAAAAACCTCTATAATGGACAATAAAACACGGGTCTTCGTGTGTTGTTGTTGTTGTTGCTACGAGGCTGCAGCGTCAAATCCAGAGGTTTAGGTCTACAGCCTGGTAGCAGGGTGGCAGAGTGGTAACGCTTGTGCTTTACAGCAAGAAGGCGATTTCCGTGCGGAGTTTGTATGTTCTCTCCCTGTTTGTTCTGCATGGGCTTCCTCCATGTTCTCCGCCTACCTCCCATCGCTAAAACACCGTCAAAATACGTCATTGGTATTGGCCGACAACTCATGGCTAAAAATGTACCTGCAATATATCCATTCGAGATTAGATGTAGGAACATTGCTCCTACGGTGGCAGGATCCTCCTGAAAACGAGTCTTGAGACTCAGTGAGGTTTTCCTAGATAACCCAGAATAATACGGATTATAAAAACCTACCAATATGCACATGAATGTAATTTTAGGCAGCTGCAAACCGCACAGAGATCCGACTGCTGTGTGATGATTGGAACATTGATCTGGCAGTTCAATTCAATCTCCAGGCACGGCAGTCGAAGCTATGGGCGAGTTCGCACAACCCTCTCGCTTCTGGTCGCTCAGCGCGTTAAATGGTGGGGCAAAGAGTCGGTAAGTCCACCTCTACCAAGACACTTGGCTAGCATGGAAGGGTGGGCAAAATACATTTTAGAGGGGCTATCTAGTGTTACTTTTGCCCCCATGAGTGAGTCATTTCAGGGCTGCATCTTTACTTATGTTTTACACTGAACAGAGCTCTTGACAAGGTTTCACTTGCTGGAATTTTCCACTGATTTTGGAGATAACTTCCTTTCTCTGACCAAACATGCCGAATAACAGATGTACAGTCGAGTGTCTCTTGTACGTCATCGAGTCTTCTTCTAAATGCTCCCCGTTCACCTACGCAACAGCAGCTTTAAAATGTCCCAGCCACGTGACAATGGCAAGGCCCTTTAATGAACAACTCTAAATAAGACATTCGTCTCATACGATATGGGCAGAGCTCAATTTCAGCTGCGACGGTGACCTGGAAAATATGTCTGCACCTGGCACACCACATTCAGCTGTGGCTTCGAGTCCCGTGCCACCTTCTCCAGTCTACCAACGGACCCGTAAAATATTCAGTGAGAAACTAAGCCCTGGGGTATAGGATTCGTCGCGTCCTTTGTGGAACCCAGAGTGACCAAAACAAGGCATAAACACAGCCACAAGCAAGGCAATAGCAACTACAGACCCTTGCGCTGATAACAGATTTGTGGAAACACACGCACGCACGCACACAAGCTCGCGCACCTACATGCGCATGAATGTGCCAGCAACTGTCACCAGACACCCGCGCCATCGGCCAACTGGCGAGGCTCATGGCACAAACGAGGAGCGCGGGCCACGATCCAGAGCCACGTCCACCGACTGGTGCGCCGTTAGCGTCCGTGGGTATCGCCTTGCGGGGCGAGACAATAGGCGAACTCCCGACACCGGAACCGCGCCGTGCGGATGAACTTTCAGGCTAATGAGAGGGACGACCAACGAAGAGCGCCCAGACGGTTCAGTTTTTAATATTTGACGCTCCGCCATGGCCGCTCGCCACCCATGCCAAATGCCCCGCGTGTCTGCTTTTGTTCCTCTGTGTGTGTGTTTGTGTGTGTGTCTCTGTGTGTGTATGTGTGTGTGTCGCGCGTTAGAAACATTTAGGCTGGCCTGCCTACGATCCATCCTGGGTTTAACCAGGCTGGATTGTGTGAGGAGCTCACAAATCCTTGAAAGATCTGGACAAAGTCTCAGCGGT